GGGAGTTTATAACAATGTCGAAATATCGGGAGAAAAGTCCCCTTTGCATATTGTATACAATTTGTAAATAACTGTGAAAACAGTTTTAATTATTATAGTGTTAAATATTTTTTACCGTATACGAAGCAACGCGTAAGACTTGGCTCTTCTTAAGATAGAAATAAATTAAATTTTACCTTTAACTTTGTAAGAATTTTCACATTAATATTATATTATCGGTGCGTCTTTGTAAGGATGTCAATCGAACTGCTAACTGAGAGAGAAGGGTCTAAGGACCGGCATTATCAATAGTAAATATATATCAGCGGCAAAATAAGTCGAAACAAATAATAGTCTATAAAACAAAAATTATTCAACAAGCATATTATAACAAAAATATTAATAACCCCGGCGCCACAACGCCATCTAGTTCAACTGATATAAATACTTAGATATTTTTTTTGTAAATATATACATAACATAATTAAAAAAACACGCAGACTGATACAAACAATCATACTCATGAATACAAATGTTTACACTAAGCGAAGTATCGAACCCGCGACCATTAGGAATACAGCGGTGAGCTACACCTCTAGATCACCGAGAATTAGACTTCATATAAAATGATCTCTCTCGAACTGGCATGTTGGTATACGATATAAACTCGGTATGTACCCCGTGTATACCGTGTGTACCCTCTGTATGTACCCCGTGACGGATTTAGGGTGAATATGTAATAAACATTTGCTTTATTAATTGATAAAAGGTAGCAAATTGAAATGTGATAATTAAATTCACAGCTGCTATGTTATCGTCATTTTCTAATATAAATTTTACAATGAAGCGGTAATAATTGTAATTATTAATTACGTTTTCTTTTGTTACAGATGACCGTAAACTGAAAAGCAGAAGGAATTTCTTTGATAAATCATAAGGTAAAATAAATACTACTAAGGACAACAAAATCGTGTGTTGTGTTACTCTTACACATTACTTGAATAAATTGTCTTGTCAAGAAGCACGAAGCGAAACTTAAAAAATAATAAGCACATGTATACTGTATATTAATATGTGAAATTCGTAGATTTTTTCGTGAATTTGAACATTACATTTTGAACATCAGATTTTGATTTATAAAGAGAATTCTAGCAAGTTTTAAACTTAAATACTACATGTCCATTTTCAATTAAGTTTTATAATTGTAACTTCTCCGTTTGATAACAGATTAAGATTACAATCTCTCATTATTCGTCCAACAATTCCAATAGATCTTAATAATACACGAGATATCATAAGAGTTACAAACTTACTAAATTAGATAGTTATTGATATTTACTTCCTATTATTACCCTGATATTGGATGGGAATATTTCAAAACTAATATTTATAAATACTCTACGGCAGAGGTTCTGTCACATTGTTTTTGCTGTTCTGGATGGACTTGCGACATTTCTACAATATTTCCAAAACTCTTCAATAATGTGAACATTATTTGTTTTTTACCTGTATGAAATGGACTGACGTAATACGACAATTAGTTTAAGATCAACAGAGGAATAAACCTTTTCGATATTAAATACACACAAAATTAAATGTATTTAAATTGGATTCTTCCTCCTTTTTTTATAACTTTATAATTCATTATTCGAAAATAAATTACTTCTTTTTCCTATTATTTATTATTATTTCCTATTCTTATAAGAGTTATAATAACAGGAGTTACAATAATATTATCGGAACGTTGCATTCAAGTCCAATTTACTATTTTTCCTCTTTATCGGGTTTCATACAAGGCAGAGAATTGTGTTTCCACCATGATACGCTCATCGCCTTTCTCCGTACCTACTAAATAAATATATTGGGACTATGACCTGACAATGGCATCGTTCGTTAATAAATAACAGTATTCGATGTTGATTAATCGATTCCAAATTGTACGGTTTATTATACATATTTTAAAGTCTTATTTAGAAATATATATATATATATATATATGTTTAGGGCACCTACGTAGGTATATATGTAGCATTATAGCATTAGCTTAGCTAGTTTAAAGTCTGATATTCAATATATTTCTAACGTCATAAAAAATCAAACCCTTCAAATATTAGAAGGATATAAGGACATATTTGGCTGTTTATAACTTCATTGTATTTTAATTTCTGTGATTACAAAGTAGTTCATTTTGGGAAGAAATATGTAGCACATTGTACAATTTGGCTATATAGTTTATGTCTCTTGATTTTCCACAAAAGGAAAAAAGAGTACAATAAAATCAGTCATTGTGTAATGTAATTACTTCATTTAACGAAAAAAATAAATAGGTATCTGGATCTTAATGGTAATAATTTACTACTAGGAAACGATTGTACGGAACAGTCCCACAATGTGGATCGCCGATTCCCGGCACGTTTAATTGATAGCACCATTAGCAATCTAGCATCCTAAATTATTATCCCGGATAGAGAAAACTTTATCCGACCAAGTGCGGTAATAAGTTTTACGTGTAAGTGTATGTTTTCTCTCCTTAACTTAATTCACTGGAAGGCTTTTTGCTCGATCCTCATCTATCACCAGAAAACAAAATTGCATAAAAACGATTTATAGTAATGTTAATAACGCAAAAATTAATTACTGAGTTATATCTTATATGGGAATGGATGATTTAACCGCTTATAAATTGTTCTTCTAATATTATTCTGATATTTTAGCTTGCATATCTACGTATAGACTGTTATTCTTAAATAAAACGAAATTGTTATAGCTAATTGATTAAATATAAACTAAAAAAAATCACGTCATATTTATCACTATCTTTACCGTCTAGTTCGGATATTATTTATTATACATTTACTAAATTAATTCGTTAGTCAATTTATTAAAAATCAATTAACTGATTATACATCTTATTGCGCTAGAAACTTTCATAATTATAAATAAAAAAATAGTAAATAGTAACATATCACCGTTAATGTGTTTAATTATCTGTTATATTGCTCATAAATCATACTTTCAAGAGTCTGGTGTTTGATTACAAAATCAGAATGCCGTACTCTGTAGGCACGGTAGCTATTGATCCCGCCTATTAAAACAGTTTCTCGTGTAATAGGTCGTAGTTGTAACTCCTTCATGAATTTGTAATGGTAGTTTATGTAAGTTTACCAGCTTCCTAATATCCCTGCAGTGATACCAATATCTAAAATACAGTATGGCTGAGGATATCATAACATGTTATTTATTTTGATATTTGTTATGTTAAAAACAATAATTGTTTAATATGGTCTTTAATATTTTAGTTACCTTGCTTGGTACTATTTATAGTATACTAGCTACCCGCCCCGACTTTTCACGGAGGTACATGCATTATACATATACCTTTCCTCTTGAATCACTCTATCTATTGCTAAAAACTGCATTAAAATCCGTTGCGTAATTTCAAAGATATCTAAGCGAATAGCCAGCGGAAACGACTTTATTGTATACTATGTAAAATGATTGTAATTTAAAGTAGTCACAATGTTATAATAATTGAATTTCTATAGCAAACTGGTTGTTGCATTGCTCGCTATCTACTTTTACGAAATACACCTTATAAACATTGGCGTCGTAATTATAACTATATGGAGTCCAGTTCATTACCAGTTACTTTATCAGCCATCGGCCCCTCAAATAAGAGTTCTGGGACCACCCACAAATTTAATAGCTACTCTAAGAGTTGAAATCTAATAGTTGACTATAGATAAGTCACACTGATCCACAAAGCTTTAATTAATACTTAAAAGATTTGACACCGCTCTTGTAAGTATTAATTCAAAATTTAAACTATATATTATAGCAAACTACAATAGTTATTCAAAATATGAGTTTACATAATTTCACATCAAAATATCAATAGGTTTTACTAAACTGCCGTTTGTAATAACTAGTGTCTTTAACTGAAATATGGTTTTGTAAATCTCTACCTTCAATAATGTATTCCAAATAATAGATTGCTTGTATACTCGACTTCCTACAGAATAATTAAACAGTGTCAACATCGGTGAATATCAGGTGTTAAATTGCAAAGCGTAAAATCACCAAAAGGAAAATTGGCGGGGAAACGATGTACCCATTAATTTGCACCATTAATCTTTTGACCGAAACCGATTCGAAGCGAACTGACATGCGGAAACAGCCGATTGCATAGGCACCAACACAATCGTTACGAATATAGGATTGTAAGCATTAGGGTAGCTACTCTGTTTATGTATCAACGTATAACGACACACTGTGTGTTTAGGATTGCTTATTTGTTTAAGCACGATATATAAACATTATGTATGAATTAAAATTACTTATACTTAAGTACTTGTTTATTTAAGGACCTTCTCCTGTAACACTTGCTTAATCTGTTTTGTAGACATTTACATATTTATGTATTAATTTTAACATGAAGGTATGAAGTGGGTAAACAGTTTGCATAATAAATTTACCTGTCCATCTATTATCATCCGAGTTAAGTCGCTGAAGCTAGAAAGTCATTATTTATGCAGTTTCTAAAGTAGAATTTAGTATTCAACTTTTAAAGAAGAAAATATCTCATAAACTAATTAGAAAAAATCGAAATTTGTTACATACGTCGTATGTTTGATAAATTTTAAATTATTGTAATATCTATCCATCAAACATGATTAAATAGCTAATTTACTGACTACATTTGAATAAATACTAAGCAATTTATAAATTGGTATATCAATTTATGAAGCGGAAATAAATACAAGTATTACTACGACTATTTTAATTAACACTCCATAAACGAAATTACAATACAAACATGGAAAATACAACTTGATACGAGTATATATAAAAATAACCGAACTTAACTATATATCCTTCTTATTATAGAAAATATTAAATGTTTAAAGTGTAAGAGTTTAAAAAAATGTGTAATTATTTGAAAATGAAACTTTTTTGTTACAGATGGACAACTGCAGCAACTGGCGGCCCCAGCGGCGGTGTTGTAGATGAACGCGCACACCATGTCTCGGCTGTGGGTGTACGTGGTGATCGCCGCGCTGGCCGTGGCGGTCACTCGCGCCTACCTCGTGCTCGTCCCCGACACCGCCCGACCTGGCCACGTTGTCATCGATGCCGCTGTCTACCGCCTTGGCTCAGAAAGAACGTACACTATAGACGTTCACCGTACAGCCAACTTTGTCCATCACATTCTCCAAGTCAACAGGACAAGTGGCCTGGTCACCTTAAGAAAGAGGCTAAGATGCGATGGCGTTATGTACCCAAATCTCTTCACGTTCTACGTAGACTCAACATCGGAACGGATCCGTGACATTGAGTATTATAGCCTCCCTGTAAGAATTCTGGTCACTGGCGAAGACTGTTCCAGACGGCATGCAGACCTCTACGATATAGATTTTGATAGAGTCTACGATCAGAATGATGCCGCTCTTCAGTATGAAGATGAACCAGGAAGAGAAAAAAGAGAAGTAATATATCCAGAGAGTATAGACTGGAGGTTGTTAGAAGCTGAGGAAGTAGTCTCTAGTCAATATAGTGTTCTTTCAACTGCTTATCCTTGGTCTAACGCCATGTTCGAGGATTTTGTAGCGAGAAATAGAAGTAGGAGAAAACGATCTCATTCTTTAGTACCATTTGATATGGCTGTAGATGTAAAAATAGCTGAAGCTAAGCAATGGGTAACGGAGACCTATGCAAGTTTTGCTATACCAACCACGGATCGATGGCAAGGAATATGTCTGAAGAGGTCTCAGTTTGTAAATTCTTTGACGGCCTTTTTACCGCGAACTGTTCAGAAAATGTGTAAAGTGCAATTTTTGGATGTCAGCGATCCTAGGTTCATGATTGAGAACAGCCAGGGCGATTTAGTGACAACCAACGATGTGTGTATTCAGGAGCCGATGTGGAAGGTGTCTATTCTGTTCACGTTCAATTGTGAGAAAACAAATATTATCGACTCCGACCACAGACTGAAAATAGTATATCACCATCAAGAGTTAAACGATACTGATATAGTCAAGAGAGTGAAACGGGAACTTCGAAACCAATCGCCATATTTTGAGCAAGCATTATACGTGGCTTCTGTTGCTGAGGAACAACCGCCAGGGGTTGTCGTCACTTCAGTAAAAGCACGGTATGTTAATAACGCAATTATTCTTCTATCACGATGATTTATTAATTGAATGTGAACGTGAATGGTAAATTTATGTATCTATGCTAATACAAAATACGATAAACTAACCATGCAGTCTAGTCAACATTCTCGACGGTACGACCGTATGTTGTTGATGCATTTGCATGTTTATCGGATTAGAATTTTTATCCATTAAATGAAATAGGTTGTTGACTTTCTGTTGGCATTATCTTTAAATGACACGAATATAACACCTTCACTCATAAACCATCTGGCGCTTAATTGACTTTATGCCGGCTCGTTGAGCTTTTATAGTCTCATTTATTTTATGTGGTCCGGAACCATTGTCATGAGCCATTGCACGCGTCGGCAGACAATGCCACCGCTTGCAATGAGGTTAAACCGCTCAAATTTAAACTGATGACTGTATTTTGTACGGCGGTATGATCATTATCGTCTAGGAACAATGACGCGCAAAGAACTACTTTATGAAATGAAACCTTTTTGCTGCTATTAACTGACTAGAGATGGTACTCGCAGTTATTTTATCCTGTTAGATAATTTACTCCCTATAACATTAGAATTTGTTTCCTTGATCTCTTGAAATAGAATTACTGAGATTATCATGCAACCGTTAATGTCGATCTGCAATTTGCAAGCACTCGTTGCAATGACTGCTGATTTTATCAGATATCGCTTACATTGTGAGTAGTATATAAATATAATATGCATATAATAACTGGAGCATACATATACATACCTGTGACTATTTCATTTTATGTACAGAATTCACTTTAAAAGTTTTTATATATTTAAAGATGATTGATCCAAAATATAATCTGGATATTATTCTGGACCTTTCTATTTAATACCTTGTTAATACGAAGAAATAGATTCTATACTATGAAAAATGATACCAACATGCCGTAACACTGTCATTAGTCCCCCGAAACTACAGACAACTGGAGTGTAATCACATCAACTTATTTTCTATGACCGTTATAGTTTATCGTTTTATAATAGCAGATAATCACAAAACTATAAAAAAGAAAGGAAACGTATATGGTGTGATTGATTTCCTAATCGATAATAGTGTTTTTTTTTATTTTGTTTGTTTCTTTTCTGTTGTGATTAATTTCTCATTGTATTATATGTATTTGATACAGCATACGTTTTAATTGTTTAATGTCGGTAATAGTAGTTCCATATATTTTTATATTCATGTAATTTAATGTATTTTACATTCTTTTAATAAATGTATATATTGTAAGTATGTAGCTTAGATGTGTATGTCCATTCTAAATAGTACTTTGGTTATATTTCGATCATAAAATTTACTAATAAATAAATTTTGCCACACCTTTAAATTTTACTTTGATATTCATAAAGCAACACCATTTTAAACTTTATTTCTGCTTGTTTACAATTCATAATCGAATAGCTATACTTAATTGACACGATCCTTTTCAGGGACCCAGAAAATAGTCCGGTGTCGTATTCCATGTCGAGTTTATTGGACTCTCGGTCCGCTGGTATGTTCGCCGTGGACTCGAGGACTGGCGTCGTCACTACTCAAGCTAGACTCGACAGAGAGAGACTGGATGTGCATTATTTTAGGGTGGTCGCGCAAGATGACACTTTCCCTCCAAGAAGTGGAACAACCACTTTGCAGGTTAGGACTCTCTTAGATTTTATTGATGCTTTAATAATAGTCGGTAACGTAATATTTACTATATTTTTTGTTCATATTAAGTTCCACAAGAAAACTTAATCGTGACAAAGTTTTATGAAACCAACGCGAAACTATCTTTAAACAAACAAAAGGTTTACAAAATGAAGCATTAGTTGGTTCAGAACTGATGAAAATGTATGTACTATATGTAGTACATATACTTAATACTTTGTAAAATGCATAGGTACTTTTATTTACCTGAGCCATCAAGCAGCTTCCTTTGTAAGTTGTGTTTTGATTGTAGGGTGAGATAAGGCAGTAAAATTACAGGATAAAAGACAGGTCAACTTAATCCTTCGGAATGGTAACGTATTAGTGGTCACTAACGTCACATGATCACATGATATCCGTAGTGTTGTTCGTATATATAGACGACGATTGCCTACAAGAAACCAATGATTAGGCCGTCATCTTATTTGCCATTCCATAAGAACTTAAGCAGTTCCTTCCTTTTATTTATATAATTAATCCTGTACAGAAGCATCGACTGTGTTTTGTAAACGCACTTTAATTTGCAGATCAATGTGCTAGACTGTAATGATCACTCGCCGGTATTCGAAATGCAACAATACGAGGCATCTGTTCGAGAAGGCGCCAGCGCAGGCACTACCGTGCTCACACTTAAAGCAACTGATCAAGACATTGGCAAGAATGCAGAGGTGAGGAATATTTATTGTACAGTTTCAAGAGCTATAGTTTTAAATTTATTTTAACTCATTTAAATAATTAAATAAAAAATTTAAAAACATGTTTATAATAGAAAATGATAAATCCTAATAAAGGTTAACTCTCTAAAAATCAGGTATATAATTACATTATTACGTATATATAAATAGTACATAATTAAATGTAACTCAATAATACAGGAGACTGATTAAAATTACAATAGGAAATATTCATAGGTGGATTTCCAGGTCTTGTACTGACTACAACGTTTTCATTTGTATTCTATATATTTAAAATTACCGTTTTGTAACCATATGATGCTGTTATTATTATAATACATTATTTCTCCCAGGTGGAATATTCAATTGAGTCTGTATCAGCCGAGACTCTAAATTTGGAAGACACCAATGAGTCTATAGATACCAGCAACGAGCAGCCAGATACTCAAGACGTGTTCAGAGTAGACGGCAGAAGTGGAGCATTATTGACTAGATCCACACTGGACAGGGAGAAAGTAGCAAGATATACAGTGATCGTGAAGGCCACTGATCAGGCTAGCCCTATCTCGGATAGACTATCAAGCACGTAAGTATTTCTACCAAAGATATTTGTCGGTTACTAGTAAAACAATAAAATATACATTATTTTGCAACAAACTGCAAATTCAATGTATAAATATGCAGGGCAATTATGATTAAAAGATTGTGATCGGTTTGGAATATTCTTGTACTGATCTGTGTTGCCAATTTTACAATTAATCACGAGACACTATCTTGTGATTAATGGCAAAATGTTTTCATTTACCTTAGTCAATTATATACCTTTAAGAATAAATAAGAAAAACGTATTACTTCTTTTTAAGACACTATGCTTCAAGTTCTTAAATATATATAGATATAATCATATGGTTACACCATATGATTATAGGAAACAATCTAGTATCGATACGGATAAAAGCACAGACGATAATCAAAGATACAGAGAGACGACGATTTCTGAACTTCTTGATGCATGGTGGTGACGAACAGATCTGTTTAAAAATGCACTAATTGTGTATGCAATACATCCACTCCCACAACTATAACAAGCATATTAGTGCGGCAAAGAAGAATTTTAGACTATTAATAGGTACAATTAGAGACGCAGCATATTCATACGATAATTTCCTTAACAGGGCTACAGTACATGTGAACATACTGGATGACAACGACAACTACCCGCAGTTTAGTGAAAAAACGTACACGGTGAACATCGACGAAGACATTAGTGTTGCAGACAATCCTGTTATTGCTCGGATAAAGTGAGTCATTATATCTATTATATGTCGTCAAGCAATTTTGAATTAAAAGTCGTCTGGATCTCGTCTCACCTATTTCAACCGCCAAACAGGTTACTTTGTAAAATGTGTTGCCAACGAAAGGCAGTAAAACTAGAGGTAAAAAGTTTGACATCTTAGTATAAGAATGGCGACCCATGAGTTTGCATTCCAATTACATAAAAATACTGCATATACTTTGCATAAGAAACATCAACAACTTTGTATGCTCTATAGTTGTAGAAATATGTACAGACATGACTTAGAAATCATGATTTTCGGTATTTAATTTAAAACTCCCAAAATTAATTACTTACAATGTTTATTACCAATATCCTACTAATACCATATATTGGCATACATCTTACACGTTATTTTAATAAATCAGGTTCTACAGGATATTAGATCATTTCAAATAATGAGAATTTGATATCGTGGTGAGATTTCAATACCTGAACATCATAAATTATTACCATTTATAGTATTAAATTTTAGCAGAAGTCAAAATATTTATGCCTATTTCTTGGAGCATGGACAATATGCAATATATTGAAATCACGATTCTCCGAAACACGTGTATAACTGGGTGGCTTTGGCCTTACTATGGAACTCTAATCGGACTACAATTACTTTATTAAAATTACTTTATATTTAAAAAAAAACTTACTTAATACTACCTATTTCTGCCTTCTTCCTCTACTTTTACTTATATTAAATCCTAAAAAAACACAGTGTATAATTATTGGAAGTTCGTATTTTACTTCTAGATTAGACTTCAATCTTCTACCACCAGTTACCTTTGATGGCCATGACATTAAATATTCCGTTCAGGTCAAAAATCTTGGAATTCTTTTTGATGAAAATTTGTCTTGGTCACCACAAATTACACAGTTAAGTCGGAAAATGTTTGCAGCCGTCGGAAGCATTAATAGGTTGCGGAACTTCCTACCAGTGGATACCAAAATTGCGCTAGCAAATTCCTTGTTACTTCCAATCCTAGATTATGCGGATTCCTGCTATGTAAATCTCACTGAAGAACAATTAAATAAATAGAAATAGAAATAGAAATAATCTTTATTCAAATAAACTCATTACAAGCACTTTTGAATAGTCATATTTTGATTCTACCACTCATTCGGAATGCAGATTCATCACAAGAAGAATGAGCAAGAAACTTGTGTGTTGCTCTTTTTAATAGATGTTTTTTTTTATATAAATAATTACAGTATAACAAGTAAGAGGCATGCGATAATCAACATAGAAGTCGCTACGCACTCATTATTAATGTAATCAGATAATATTGTCAGTGCTATAGATTTAAAGTTTTTCTATAAAAACATTATTATCGTTAACGAATTCTTCAATTTTATAGTAAGCTTTTTTGCAAAGGAACTGTTTTATTTGACATTTAAATCTTTTTTCTGGCAGATTTATAACAGACTCTGGTATTTTATTGTAAAACCTTACGCAATTGCCATAAAACGAATTACTAACTTTAGCCAAACGACATTTAGGTAAAATCAGTTTGTTATTGTTACGTAAGCTTTTATTAGTGCAATCTCTAACTCTTTTGAAACTGTCTATATTCCTTCTGGCATAGATGATATTTTCATAAATGTATTGAGAAGCAACGGTGAGGATATTTGATTCCTTAAAACACTCTCGCAATGACTCCCTGGAACCCATACCATAAATGGAGCGAATGGCCCTCTTTTGTAAAGTAAATATTGTATTTATATCAGCTGCTTTGCCCCATAACAAAATACCATACGACATAATGCTATGGAAATAGCTAAAATAGACAAGTTTAGCCGTTGCCACGTCTGTTAATTGTCTAATTCTTCTTACCGCGTAAGCGGCAGAACTAAGTCGACTCGCCAATTTAGTAATATGAGCACCCCATTGCAACTTGGAATCTAATGTGATACCTAGAAATACAGTATCGTCAACAAAATTAATAGATTTATTGTCCAATACGATTTTTGAATCTACCGGCCTTACATTGGGGAGAGTAAATTTGATACATTTAGTTTTATTTGCATTTAGTAGCATATTATTTGCCGTAAACCATTTTAAAACATAAGAGAGAGAACCGTTTACTTCGTCCATATCATCAATATGTCGATTGACTTTGAATACTAATGAAGTATCATCAGCAAACAGAACTATGTCAGCTATCTTTTCTACCATATAAGGAAGATCGTTTATGTAAACTAAAAATAAGAAAGGACCTAGAATAGAGCCCTGAGGAACACCCATTTTAATACTAGTTCCCTCAGACTTTACACCATTTATTTCAACAACTTGCATTCTATTATTTAGATAGGGTTTCATCATGCATAGTGCTTCATATCTAATACCGTAATATTCTAATTTGAGTAAGAGTGTTTCATGATCAACGCAATCAAATGCTTTTGAGAGGTCACAGAATACACCGATAGCATCCTGTGACCTCTCCCAACAGTCAAAAATGTGTTTCATTAAAGCTACACCAGCGTCAGTAGTTGATTTACCGGCCGTGAAACCAAATTGCCGACTGTGAAGCAGTCTATTTATTTTAAAGTGGTGAAGCATCTGATTGAGCATAATTTTTTCAAACACTTTACTTAGTACTGGTAAGATAGAAATGGGCCTATAATTACCTACTTCAGTTTTATCCCCTAACTTAAAAAGTGGAGTTATTTTACTATGTTTCATTAAATTGGGAAAAACACCGTCAAAAATACATTTATTGAAGATAGTTACTAAATATGGAGCAATAACATCTATAGCGGTGTTAATAACTTTAACAGACATGCCCCAATGGTCTTCAGTATTTTTTAAATTTAATTGTTTAAATGTTTTCGTAATTGTAGCAATGTCAATAAATGTAAATTTAAATGTAACCGGACACGAAGCAACATTGTCAATAAGGAATGATTTAGCTGTACTTGGAGAAGAGTCCAAAGAGGACGTAATATCAGTTGGAATACTAGCGAAAAATTTTTCAAAAATATTGACTATTTCTTTTGTGGACGTTACTAGTTTATCATTATAATTTAACGTAAAATCATTATATGGACTTTTAACTTTGCCAGTTTCTTTATTAATAATATTCCACACTGTCCTAATCTTATCCTTGGATTCTTTAATTTTTTTATTTAGATAATTAGACTTTGCTACATTACATACCTTTTTAAAAGTTTTTGAGTATCTTTTTACATAATTTACGAATGTACTATCGAAACGGTATTTTTTTTGATCATATAAATCAAATAATATATTTCTACTTTTAAGAATTCCCTTTGTAGCCCATTCTGAAAATTTTGTTTTGTTACTAATACAGATAGTTTTTTTGTTAAAAGCCTTATTATATTCGTAAGAAACAATATTGAAGAAATCTGTATAAAGTTTGTTAGGTTCATCAGATTGAGGACAAAAATCTAATTTACTACGAACTGATATTTTAAATTTATTTATCTTATAACTAGTCAAGTCTCTTTTTAATAAATTAATTTTCCTAATTTTGTTTACGTGATTTGGAAAAATTACTAATTGACCACAGTGATCAGAAGGAAGGTTGTTTAATATTATTTTATCTAAATATTCACTGTTGCTAAATATGTTATCCAAACAAGTAGCAGACGTGGCTGTGATACGAGTGGGTTCGTGGAAGACATTACTCAAGTCAAAAGATTGAAATAAACTCATTAATTTAGTTTTTGTGGTATTATGTGATAAAATGTCAACATTGAAATCACCACACACTATAAATTTTTTGTTAATATTAAATACTCTTTTTAAAATATCCTCCATTACCTCTTCAAATAAATTATAATCACTATTTGGAGGTCTATATACACACATAACTATATAATTTTCTAGTTCCACACAGGAAATTTCAATACAACACTCAACGGAAAGATTGCCAATATCACTACGTTCTTTTACTTTTATATTATTTTTCACCAATATCATGGAACCTCCTCTATTTACTATTTTTCTATTAAAGCAGCTGACAATATTATAATTGTTTAAGCTTAACATCATATTGCTCACTTTGAGCCAATGTTCAGTTAAACATAGAACATCTATATTATTTTTTTCTAAAAACAATTGAATAATTAATTCACAGCCGAGAAAACTTTGTATGTTCTGGTGAACAATTTTCAATTCTGATAGCTTTCCCTTTGTCTTTTTCAGCAGTTTAAATCTGCAGTCATATTTAAATTATTGTAAATAAAAGGATTCTTACTAGAATCAATATTTATGTCAATATTTTCAGAATGTTTAGTATTAACATTAGTACAAATACTACTAATTGGATTAGTGCAACCCATTATATTACTTATAATGGGGTCATTTATATTATAAGCTAGTAAACTAGCTATATTTCTTATTTGTTTTTTAGGCAGATAAAATCTATCTCCAGTCATACAAAAGTTTGTAACAGATTTGTTACTATCAAAAAATAAAAAGTCATTATGACGACAAGTCATATTATAAATTAAATTATTAATATAATATATGAACTTATTTTGTTCAATAGTCAGAGAATGACAGTAAGGAAATGCACATAAAATTATTTTACCTATGCCCAGCTCAGCAAAGAGTTTACAAGTTTAATGACATGACTTTTTTTTACATTTAAACAGTTGCCTAAAGCAATGACTAATGTGGTTAACTTATCATACCTACCATTAACCACCTTATTTAAAATATTAGGCAATGAAGCACCAGGTAGACAATTATTTATAACATGTTGAGATAAACTTTCTGATAATGAACGGCCCAAACCCTTACCACATTCATCTGAATAAATAATTGTCCTTCGTACTGGTGCAACATTACAATTATCAGTTTTTAAAGACAAGTTAGAATTGAGTAAATTTGAACAAGGAGTGATTGACTCAGTCAAGACTGATGTGACTGATGTGAGTAAACTTGAGCGACTCCAAAATATGTCCATACGATTCATATTTGGTCTCCGTAAGTATGACCACATTTCCAATTTTCGCAATCAACTCAAGTGGCTTCCCATTCGTCTTCGCAGGAATTTTCACATACTATGCCTTCTTTACACCATTCTTTTCCATCCCTCTACTCCAGAATATCTAAAAACAAATTTTTTATTTCACTCTAAATCCCCCGGTTCTGCTTTGCGTAGCACCAGAAGCCTTTGTCTGACGATCCCTGCTCATCCTCTACATATTATTCCAACTCTTTCACTGTCCTAGCCATTCGCCTTTGGAACTCTCTACCACTCTCCATTCGATCCGCTCAATCTCATACAATATTTAAAAATCGTCTAAGGTCTCATTATCTGTCCCTATAGCAAATTTTTTTTTTTTTTTCCTATTTAACTCTGAAATCTTCCAATATATTGAATATATGTATGTATATTTATTTATATATATATATATATATATATATATATGTATGTCTATTAATTAGTTTGATAATTCTAGTGTCTTGTGTGTGCCATCTACCTCTTCTGTGTATGTTAGTCCTATCTTGTAGGTTGTCTGTAAGAAATTGCTTATAGCGATAAGACCGCCTTTTGTTCATAATTTTCTATTTATTGTTTTTCTTTTTCTTATTGTATTTCTTCTATGTGCACAATAAAGAGTTTATTATTATTATTACTTTTTGATAGATAACAGTTAATCCTCGTCATGCAATATATCTTCACGCCAAATTTCAATAAGATTAATTAAGCCGCTTAGTTTTGAAATTGTAATAAACAGATAGACTCACTTTCGCATATCTCATATGTACGTATGGATTTTTCACAGAGCAACGGATGCGGACGTGGGCGCGAATGCTGCGATACGATACGCTATCATCGGTGGTAATACACAGATGCAGTTCGCCATAGACAGTCTCAGTGGAGATGTGTCCTTAGTCAAACCTCTCGACTACGAGCAAGTCCGGAATTACAGACTCGTTATAAGAGCTCAAGGTATGTCTCAAATAAATAATAATCATTATTCAATTGCAATTTCCTTTGGAGTCTTCTCTTTTTCCAGTTGGTTTTCCCATTAATTTGGGTGACAATATTAACAAATTCTTCCACAAATATCAGTGTCTTATTACTCGTATGAAATATCGAGAAAAGAAAAATAACACTGGAAAATTTACACAGCGCCACCAATTTTACATATAATTTTTAGAACAGTTGTGTATTCTTCCAGTTTAGACTTTAAATCTGTTTGTCCCAGATGGTGGAAGTCCATCGAGATCCAATACAACCCAGCTACTGGTGAACGTGAAGGATGTAAACGACAACTCGCCCAGGTTCTACACCTCGCTGTTCCAGGAGTCCGTCAGTGAAAACGTGCCGGTCGGATTTAGTATAGTTAGAGTGAGTAATTTGCAAATATTAACGATGTTATTCATAAAAGATACGAAACCTTTATAAGTCCAATATTACACTGTTGTAAAGATTTTATAAAAATCATTATTCATAAACCCATTACAAAACTGTAATAAGTGCTCAATAGCGATCATCGTTATAAATACTCCATAAACCTGATAAAACGATCTATAAACCGTGTAATAGTAAAAAACGTTATTCATAAACGCTAAAGTAACTTCGAAATAATCATCAATATTCATATGGTTAAAATTAAATTGCGAACATACATACACGCGATCGGGACTTTATTTTATAATATATATAGATAAAGGTAAGCTACACCCGAACTTAGGAAGAGTGTGTATATTTAAAAATTGTAATTATTTTAGGTACAAGCTTATGACGCGGATGAAGGAGTCAACGCTGAATTAACATACACCCTATCAGACAAAGAGTATGGTGGTAATAGCGATATGCCCATCACGATAGACCCCAGATCCGGTTGGGTGTATACATCTGGACCCCTCGATAGGGAGGTGCAAGCTAAATATCAACTGCAGGTATTCATTTTGTATATTTATATAAATAGTTGGCATATTTTCCACTGCATTCTGCAGCACTTATAGCCATTCTTACCAATAATTACTCATTAATTATAAACAATTTGCAGGACTTTTTATAATGTTATACAACTAATTTAATAATTGATTTATCAAATAATAGTATTATTACTCCTATATTCTACCCTTTTGTCATAGTGTCACGCTTATTTTTTTCTACAATATTATCTTAATTATTGGTAAGAGAAAATACTTGACATGACTTCGAAAATTCTACAGACGGATAGATACAACTGACAAGACAGATATGAGTTAAAAAAGTGATTAGAAAAAGTAATTGAACTTAATTACTTAATGTTCATTAAGACGTCATACATATTTTTTTCTTTTTAGTACCACATTTTTTCTTTTATATTGTAATAGTTACACTACAATCTTCGATCTGTATGACCTCCGGCTCAGTTCAAAATGGAATCTTCACCATAACATTATTTATTTACTTTGCTCTCTTACTTAGCCTGCCCACTATGGTCCATGGTTCTCGAAAAATGTAGAGTACCTGAATGTGCCAACAATTTATGACGAGATAAGGCAGTACAACAAGAAATATACAGACCGACTAACCATCCTAATTCATTGGCAGCAATGCTCTTAGAGCCTTCTCATACGTCAAGAGACAGACAGAGCAGAAATGCAGTGTAGAAAGGCAGAAGTACATGTGCTAACGTCTTCGTCTACAAATCCAGCAGGACTCAACACAATATACAGTCTTGCGCCTGATCGCCGATTAAAAAAAATATATTTGCTTTCTTGTGATACAAATTTGTACTGTCGCAGGTAACTGCAACAGATGGTGGCACGCCTCCGCGTTCAGCGACGGCAGCGGTGTCGGTGGTGGTACAGGATGTGAACGATAATGACCCCGTGTTCGCGCCTGCGCAATACGACGTGGAGATAGCGGAAGACGAACCACCAGGCACTCCGCTTGTCACTGTCACTGCTACTGATGCTGATGAGGATAACAGGTAAAGAGGATAGAACTACAGGACTGCGTATATACATATTTTTTAAATACCATGATTTGCGTTTACGTAACGCAAAACTTGGTATTTCGTTATTGGTGGTTCGATGTTCTGTTTCTTCATGTTCCTGTAGGAAGAAACTCATACTCTACAGTCCACCTACTGGAATATTAGTAGACAATTATTTTTTATGAGGGATTTTTAGTAATGTTTACTAGTAACCAGTCAGGTTGACCACCACGTTCTCCCTAGAAACCATCGTAGTAGATTGCCATTTGCCAAGATAGGCTAAATGACATCATCCTCCACTAGTACACCCAGTGTATACCGTTAGCTCAGGCGCATGCACCATTATATTATCATCCATACATTTTTTTTTATTTATTTAACTTTAATGCACACAGTACAATATATAGTACAGTACATTTGGCGGACTTAACGCCATGCGGCATTTTCTACCAGTCATCCATAGGTGGTGCAGAGAATAATGATACTTCTTTAAAAGAGCATCCCAAGCACTTTTTAGAATTTTAGTTCTTGTATTTTATGTTTGTGTACACATGGCGGATGAATTACTGGATGGAATAAATGTTGTTTTCATCGTTGTATCACTAAAGATATAATTTAAAATACATGTAGAAGCACTAACTTTTTACTTATATTTATTTATATAGGCTCCACTATGAGATAACGGGTGGTAACACGCGCGGCCGTTTCTCGATAACATCACAAAACGGTCGCGGTGTAGTGACCGTCGCACAGCCGCTCGACTACAAACAAGAACGGCGGTACGTGCTGACCGTCACCGCTACGGACAGCGGAGGCCGCTCCGACACTGCACTTGTACATGTAAACGTCACCGACGCCAACAACTACGCTCCAGTGTTCGAAAACGCGCCTTATACAGCTGCGGTGAGATGCTACATCGTTTTGTAAAATACTAAATGTGTGTTGTGTCTAATGTAAGTTGTTCTTCAAAATAAATGGGGTTCAGCATTACCTTTTTAAAGCTTTAATGCAGGAAAGAAGGAGCATATAAATGTGGAAGAGAACGAGTACAACAGTCACCGGCAGCAATGAAAATGAAATTTTAAAAGAAAGTAAATTACATGTTATATACGCGCTATCACACTCAAAAGAGTGAACACAAAAAGTAGTAAATTACAATCACTTATTAGTCGGCTAAAGAAAGCTAATCTTACTAATATTATAAACGCGCAAATTTTTTAGTGAAGAATGTAGATGGATGGATGTTTTTTATTCTTTCTCACAAGCGTGAATTTTAACACTTTAAAGACCACTGGTGGCCACTGGTGGGTCACTCTGCAACAACATTACCGGTCTGCGTGCTCACTGGTGGGCACACGTCATGTTTTACTTGGGACCGCTTGTACACCTGTGGCATGATTGTAAATTTCAATTTATGTACAGTATATATATACACACACACAAAAATACCGGTCCCTATGTGAGAAATAAGATTTTTCAATGCGGTCTTCAACGTTTTAATGAAACATTATAGTAATATAGATTATACATTAGAATAATACATAGGCTACAAATTTGCACAGCTAATGAAATTATATATTCCGCAGGTATTCGAAGACGCACCAATTGGAACCACGGTGCTGGTTGTGTCAGCGACTGACAGTGACGTGGGCGTCAACGCTCAGATCACGTACAGCCTCAGCTCGGAGATCTCTAACGAGGCCGTTGCTCACCACGATCAGGAGTTCGTCATCAATCCGCAGACCGGCGCCATTACCACGAATAAGCTACTCGACAGAGAGACTATGAGCGGTGAGATACTAATCTTGGTTTTGAAAGATCAATTCTTTATGTAAACTGAAGGAGACGGTAAGAAAAAAATTATAGTACAAAATATTTGACGTACATAAACGGCTAACATGTCCTACATGAATAAATTATTTTTTATTTTAATGTAATATGTTTTTGCAGTATAACTGATACTGCAAAAACATATTACATTAAAATGCGTTAGTAGTAGTATTAATATTCTATATATGAATAAGTGAGCAAAACAATGAATTCATGCTTTTGCCATTTTAAGAACCATAACCATACAGAAAGAAATTCCTTTACTGAAATTTTGTAATTTTGTTTAATTTCAGTATTGTATAGTTTATGAGACCTAGGTTTTATGTTTATCGTCTTTTTTAGGCTACTTGCTGACGGTGACGGCGCGTGATGGAGGCATGCCCGCCTTATCTGATACCACAGACGTCGAAATATCAGTGGTCGACGTTAATGATAATGCACCCGTCTTCAAACAGCAGTTGTACACCGCAAGCATAATGGAGGACGCGTTAGTAGGTAAGAGGAAAGAAATTGCTGTTTTTACTACTTTTGTTATTTAATTGGAAAAATAAAACTAAAGTTTTAATTGTTCCACCAATCTTCCCAAAGATTAACTGGTAGAGAATGCTTCTGACATTAACTTTATCTTTTTGGTCGTATGTATTTAAATAAAAATCTTTGTTATTTTTGGCAGACTAAATAAGAATTAAAAGTAGGGCTATTTAGCTAAATTAAATAGGATTTTAGAGATACGTAAAGTGTGTTAAAGATTGTTTCGTGTAAAGACAGTAATTGCGTGTGCAGGCACATCGGTGACGCAGGTGAGCGCGTCGGACGCTGACGTGGGTCTGAACGGGCGCGTGCAGTACCGGCTGGGAGCGCGCGAGCGCGAGGACGGCACGTTCGCGCTGGACCCCGCGTCCGGCGTGCTGCGCACCAACAAGCCGCTGGACCGCGAGTCCGTCGCCACGTACGACCTGCGTGCGCTCGCGCTCGACGCCGGCTCGCCGCCGCAGAGCTCCACGGTGAGACTACTTCTAGATTACCTTTGATCGTGAATGGCGCGCTTTATGTGCTTGTAATAAGTATTATTATTCTTAGAAGCAATTACAACAATTATCCTAAATGGAAGCTTTATGTGCATCTTGGAACAGCAAATAAAACGTTCTTTTTAAAAGCACATAAAGTAAGTTTGATGCCAGTTACAATGTTTCCAAGCGGACGACACCCAGAAGAATTCTACAGGAAGTATAGATTTCACATGCACAATTCATTGGATCTTATGAAGTGAAAGATCAATAAGATTCTGTGCTGTAGTCACAGAATTTTATTGTTCTTTCACTTTTAGAATTGCCTTCACTAATAATTTTGTTAAACAAGTAATATGCAATATTTATGAACTTCTAGTTTTACCCACAATTTAAACTGTTTTTTATTTTAAGTAAAACCCTCTCGTGCCAGGATCTATCTTAACATCAAATTTATTTAAGATCCGTGTAGCTATCAAACTTTAAAATATACCAACAAACAGACACACCTTCTCATTTGTAATTAATATTGTACGATTACTAAAGTATAAATACATAAACTGAGTTTGTTCTAGGTAATCATACATATAAAAGTGGAGGATATCAACGACTCGCCTCCAGTGTTCGAAAGCGACTGCCTCACATTCTACGTGCCTGAGAATAGCCCCATCGGTACTACAGTCGGCGAGATATACGCACGAGACCCGGACGAGGGACCCAATGCTGTTGTGCATTATTCTATCAAAGGTTAGTCCTTTTATTCTACTATTTCTTTTTCGACTTGCGGGGAAATAGGTAAAGCAGGAGTAGAATGCAGATGACTTATAATAAAAACTATATCTGGGAGGGAGACAGATAATTAGTAATGGGACTAATGGCCTCAATGCTAGTTATGTATCATCTTAGATTGACACGTGGTTCTCCCTGGAAGCTATCGTGATTAATTCGGAATGAATTCGCCACGATGGACTGACTGACCTACCTATCCTCATTTTATCATCATTAATACATAGATACTGCGTCATATCAATATCATCCATTAAAAGAAAGACTACCTCTAGTCGTGTCTCTGATATCACGCGCTGGATTTCTTCTAACGACGCTAAGCGTCTTGATACTTTCTTAAATAGCTAGCAACGTAACGTGTCAGTGCAATTTTTTATTATATACAGCACTATCTAGTCGAAAACTTTTGTTTTGTAGAATTCTTAGACCGGAATATTGATAAGCAATAAGCCACTTAGTATTAGATTATGTGATATTGCATCCATGCATATTATCTCTATTGGAATTATCTTCTATTGGCACTTTCTTTCCTCTTCCAGAATTAGAAAGTTCATAATCCCTGAATATAACTCTACCTAATATTTCTCTAGGTGGCGATGACTCCAGCAGTTTCTCATTGGAAACGCGTCAAGGCTCAGATAAAGCTGAACTAGTGACAATGGTCGACTTGGATTACGAGAGTCCACGTAAGAAATATGAACTAGTCATCCGAGCAGCCAGCCCTCCGCTGTGGAATGATGTCCGTGTTGAGATTTTAGTGACTGACGTAAATGATAACGCACCGATGATGAAGGACTTTCAAATCATTTTCAATAATTATAAGGACTGTTTTCCCGTGGGGCCCTTCGGGAGAGTTCCAGCATTTGATGCTGACGTCACAGATAAGGTACAGAAAACACATACATTGTTATTTTGTAATAAACTTGAAAATTTGCGTTATTAAAATTATGGTAATTTTGCGCCCATTATGTTACCCACGAGAAGTGGCTCTTGACAAACTTTTCAAATAATTAATTAACTGTTGTTTGTTTTACATTGAATTATATTTAAGCCTCTCTGTTACTTCTCTATTTAACGACTTTATTGTGAAACCACTTGTAAATAATTGAACATTTCCTATTTATGTTAAAACAAAATGCACGAATCCTGTACTAAATATAAGAAACATTTCTCATAATCTCTACGAAAGCGCTGTATTGTTCTAATATTATAAAATAGACATTTTGTAAGGTTGTTTGTTATGGTTAAACTTTAAGATAGATTTTAATTACATTTATAGATAGATCATATCCTAGAGTGGGAGAAATACATGGGATATTTTTACCTTACATTATGTGGACTATACCGCCAAAAACAATAATTTTGTAGTCACTTAATGAGTTATGAACATAGATCTTTAACTAGTAAGTATAAAATCTATATTCGAATTAATCTCCATATAATAATAATGTGTTTTAGCTCCAATATCGGATATTGTCCGGTAATAATGCGAACTTGGTGCTTCTAAATGAGACGACGGGCTCCATGACACTCTCGCCACAACTAAACACCAACGTGCCTAAGCTAGCTACTATGGAATTATCTGTCACAGGTATTTAAATTCATTTTTTGATTGATATAGAGTCCAAATGTATTAAACGGTTTAAAGATAAATTGAAAAAATAGTTTTTTATATTTTTTTATTTGAAATACTATTGATAATTAAGGACTATACAGACTTAACTTTTATCTCAATCCAATTGTCTGTTTGTCAGTGTGTACGTGTATTCTTGTTATTTACTAGCAAAACGTACATCGTACGTTTGTCTTGTCTCATTTTAAATTTTATAATAAACTTGGACCAATATGATATATAATAATATTAAAGATCAACAAGCTGTTGTATTTCTGCTACTCTTTGAAACTCTTAGAATTTACCACAAATTTAATGGAAATATTTTTACTTAGATGGAGTAAACGAGGTTAAAGCGGTGATGCAACTCACTGTTCGTCTAATAACTAAGGAGATGCTATTTAACTCCATCACCGTGAGACTCAACGACATGACTGCAGAACAGTTTCTATCGCCACTACTGGGTTTCTTTATCGATGGCTTAGCTGCTATCATACCCTGCCCGAAGGAGAATATCTATGTTTTTAGTGTACAGGTGAGTGTGTGAGTGTGAGTCCTTTTATGATTAATTTTGCTGTATTATCTTATAGAAATCTAGAATTATACCAATAGTAGTACACTACTTAATATTTTTGTACTTTATCGTGACGATAAAATAGAATAAATTAAAAAACTGCAATGTATTAATGTTAATTTACACTTGTCTTTTTAACTGATATCAAAACATTGTCAATTAAGCACATAATGTGTGACTCCATTGTCTGCTGAATTGACAATGTTCATAGTATATGTATTCTGAAATAGTAAACTCGAGAGCAGTCTTCGTATCTACTCTATTTCTGAAGGAATTCCGACTATATTATCAATAAAGTAATAATTTGGTAACGATGCAAGTTTTTTTAGAACAATATCTCTTTTTCAATGCTTAGTGTATGACTACGTTAAATAAGATTTAAAAAAATATTTGATGTAACTAGGATGACACGGATGTGACCGGGAATATATTGAATGTGTCGTTTTCTGCGAGACGGCCCGATGCAGAAGTTGGTGTTGCGGGTGATGCGTCTCAATACTATTCACCGACGCACTTGCGAGAGCGGGTGTACCTTCATCGGGCTACACTTGCCAGGCTCGCTACTGTACAGGTAAATTAATACATATATATCTGTATCAGCTGTTACCTGCGACTTCATATACCTTTTTAGATAAAAGACAATGTCCGTCTTTGTGATAAAGTTTATATTCATACCAAATTTCATTAATATCCCTTAAGCCAGTTAGTGGTTAAAAGGTGACAGACAGATAAACACAAATGGACTCAATATATATTTTCCACTATGAGGAATCCTGGAGAAATTTAAATTTCCACGAATGACGGGCTACCAATTGGTCCTTCATAATTATTTGTCATAATTCATAAACGTTGGTCTTTTAAATCGGAAAATTTTACTTGCATAACTAGTAATTTTTTACGTACAATTATTTCAACTTTAATAACGATTTACTAATATGTATGAAAAGTACCTAAATCACAGTTTACCTTTTAATAATTTAGGTATACATTGACGCATGTAAGATCTACCAGTATATGCATATACATATAGAAATAATTTAGTTATAGAAATAGAAATATCAACCTGACATGGTACATTGCAAGGAATGGGGTTATTATTCCACATTACTAACAATCCCCTTTCCCCCCCGCTAGCAACAAGTTATTAACCACTTTACTAACAACCCCTTCACCATCAATATTGGATATTGAGTCTATAGTATACAATAATTTGGGGATGCAGGTACTACCGTTCGACGACAACGTCTGCGTACACGAGCCATGCCTCAACTACGAGGAGTGCCTCACCGTGCTGCAGTTCGGTAACGCTTCGGGTTTCATAGCCAGCGACAGCGTGCTCTTCCGCCCTATATACCCCGTCACCACTTTCACATGCCAGTGTCCCAAGGGATTTACAGGTAAATTCTTGTCAATGAGACTACCATTATTTATCGGTTAAAAAAATAACTGGTGATTATTTTTATTTATTTAAGAAAAGGTTAAAACCTTTTTTTAAATGAATAAAAATAATCAGAGATCTTCTGAAGTGATAACTCTTAGTGTTCTATGATATTTGTTAGTATGAATAGCACACTCTAATCTAGGCTCTTACTATAATGTCAAGATAATGGTCCTATTTACAATTGTAAATGAGATCCACAAAAAGATATTAATTTATTATTTATTATAATTAACTGTAAAAAGGATGTTAATCTGTAACATACACCTTAATACTTTATACATATAGGTGATAAATTACTTGAAAACACTAAACAATTGAGTTATTGGGGGACTTCAATAAAAGGGGATTTGGTTAAACACTGACACACTACTTTACTGTGATGAATTGAACAAAGTAATTAATTTGAAAGGTTTGAGAAGTACTCTAAATCTTATAAAACTCATAAGTACCTTAAATATAAAATATAAATTTGTGATTTATTTTTATTTTTATTTATTTATTTATTATTTATTTATTAAAGGAAAACCAAGGCTATTCAAGTACATCTTAAATAAAGTCAATATATATGTCACAGTAAGCCACTGATAGGCTTTCACTAATAACAATAGACTAATTCTTAAAAAGTTTTACATCACTACGTATAAGGCATTATAAAGTTAACAGAGAATATGAAATTAATTAACAAGAGTACAGTAACAAATAGTAAATTTATAGAAATATATACATATACATGATTTTCAATAATAATTAATTGTTATTTAAAGAAGGGCTCACTTAGTTGGTGTCTCGTTGATTTAATATTATTAAAAAATAGATCTATATTAACTGTTTTAGATAGTTTATTAAAATTGTTGCTAGCTCGCCAGAGAAATGAATTCTGCTTATAGTTCGATGACACTAGGGGAACAGATAGAAGAGGATTGTGCCTTGTTGATACTCGTGGTACATTAATGGATAATTTACCCAGGAGATTCGGGCAATCGACAGCACCAGAGGCTATTCTCATGAGATATGTTATATCCGCGATTTCCCTACGCTTCTCAAGAGGCAGAAGGTGGTGTTTTTTACAAAACTCAAGATACCTAGATGAATCATACGGATCTCGTAATCTGTAGGCTAAAAAACGAATAAATTTCTTTTGAATATTTTCGAGACGTAGTATGTAGGTTTTGTATCTAGGATTCCAAATCTGCGAAGCGTATTCCAATTTACTTCTAACCAACGTGCAGTATAATATTTTTAAGGTTTTGGCTTGCTGAAAAAGACTTGAGTTACGCATAAGAAAACCGAGTGCTTGTGTAGCTTTCGTAACAATGTTATCAATGTGGTTGTCGAAGAGTAATTTTGAGTCATGTGTAACACCCAAGTCCTTCATTGATATTTTTTTCTGAAGCTCCTTACCCCGTAGTGTATACCGCGTTTCAATAAATTTAAATTTCCGAGTGTATGTGACCGTAAAACATTTATTTGGGTTAAGATCTAAATTGTTCAAATTACAATAAATGTCAAGGCGCTCGAGATCTGACTGAAGGCGATACATATCACTTGGTGACGATATTGTCATAAATACTTTCATATCATCTGCAAAGCACAGTAATTGGGAGTAATGAAAACAGTTGCCTATATCATTAACAAAAATAGCAAATAATAACGGCCCGAGCAGGGAACCTTGAGGGACCCCGCTAGGTGTGAGTATCCAACTCGATATGTAATTATCTACTACGACGGCTTGAGAGCGATTGCTAATATATGAAGTCATCCATCGAAAGAGATCACCTCGGATACCGATAAGTTGGAGCTTATGCAGCAGAATATAGTGGTCTATGCGATCAAAGCATTTGCTATAGTCGGTATATATAACATCAACCTGGTGCCCACCATCCATAGCATCTGTGAGATATTCATTTAAAAGCACTAGGTTGGAAACTGTGGATCGCCCCTTTAAGAAACCATGTTGAAAGATGTTTAATGACATTTTTATTGCAGAATATAGTTGGACATACACTATTTTTTCGAACACTTTCGAGATGTGGCACAACTTAGAAATGGGTCTGTAGTTCGCGATATCAGTTTAAAATCCCTAATTGTAATTCTCAAAATGTGTGTAGTAAACATGAGAAGAGTAAGAGAAATGAACTACTACTACGGTTTGCGGGAATAATTTGTTATTACAGTTCATGTGAAATTTATCTTTGTGTAGGATCACATGAGCACTATATGTGCGACACAGAGGTGGACCTGTGTTACTCGTCGCCGTGCCAGAACCGCGGCGAGTGCATCCGTCGCGAGGGTGGCTACACTTGCGTCTGCGCACCCGGATACACTGGTGAGAACATTTAGAATTTTCAACTGTAGTAACTTCGAAGGTATGGGAAGAGGTTTTTATTGTAGTCTTTCTAAAAAGATTGAAGCCATTTTATATGTTATATGTTGTGAGATGCGTATGTGAAATTTACAAAGTAAAACTTTAAATGTATGTCCTTTTTGTGAAATTAAAAATAAGTGTGGTTGTGTGGTCATATCTAATGGAAAAAATATCATATTGGAGTCGTAGAGAAAATGAATGTTTTTTTCTATGTAGTCAGGTTCATGGTCAGTTCGCCATATTACAATGATAATTAATTATAAAAAAGGCTCTAAATTACGCATGATTGAAAATCATAGGAGTGCGCGACCAAGCAGCGGGCGCGGTCTTTCTCGTTCTGTTTATATATGTTTACACAAGCATTCTTTTTCGAATGAAAGCCCACTCGCGTGTAAAAGAACATGCGTGTAAAGGCAGCTCTATATATACTCATTCTTTCTTATGTGAAAGAACGTACAGATTTCTTTTAATGTACCATGCAGGCGTGAACTGCGAGACGGTGTTGAAGAAGGCGACGTGCGACCCGGCGGGGGGCACCTGCCGCGGCGGGTCGCAGTGCGTGGCGCGGCGCGAGGGCGGCATCCTGTGCCAGGGCTGCGCCATCGACCCCGCCTACACCACGGACGTCTGCGAGCTGCGCGCCAGGAGCTTCCCCGTCTCCTCCTTCTTGACGTTCCCCGGACTCAAGCGGCGGCATCGCGTACATTTGAAGCTCAAGTGAGTAATAATAATAAAAGCATTTATTCAGCAATACGTCAGTATTCCTATTTACAAACTACTACTTAAAAGTTAAAACATGCTGGTAACGCTGAATGTGACTCCCACTAGTTTAAATAAGTCGTAGCACTGCGTTAAATTTCAGTAGGACCACCACGACCGACACGAGATGTAAAACATGTATTATACTTGATGGTATGGTAACTTTCTTTATTGGAAAAAATATTTAAGAAACCACAGTGAATTAAACGTTTTCTACAATTTATACCTAATTTTGTACCCTCAGTGTAACCGTGACCTTGTTATCAAACTATTGTATCACTTAATTACTACAATATTACTAATTTAAACTATTGCATTATTTTATTATTTATTTATTTTAAGCTAGAATATTTTTGTCATGAACAACATGATTCGCCACTCCTGTGGCATGCACTAGATTATACGTATTTTAAGCTAAGATATTTTTGTCACGGAGAACATGATGCGCTACTCCTATTGCATATACCAGGTTCGCGACGCAGTCATCGTCAGGGCTGCTGCTGTACAACGGGCGGTACAACGAGCGGCACGACTTCGTGGCACTCGAGCTGGTCAGCAGCGGAGCGGGGGCGGCGGGCGGCGCGGGGCTGCGGTTCTCGTTCTCGCTGGGCGGCGCCCGAGCTGAGGTCACGCTCGCAGCGCACCTCTCAGACGGCATGTGGCATACTGTACAAGTTGATTACTACAACAGAGTGAGTCGCCTTTTATGTACATAACTATCTATTATTTTAATACGTGAAGCATAATTTTTATTTGATATTTTTTAATATCAAATGATACATACTACATAATATACATAGAAAACTCTCAGACAAACTATCATACTCATGAATACAAATTTTCATAACATACTTAGTATGTAATCAAACCCGAAACCGTCGGAAATAAAACGGCGTTTAGCACACCGCTTTACTTACGGTCGCGGGTTCGACAACCGAGACCATCGTCGTCAAATATATATTGTTGACCATACATTCTTTTTCAGACGGCAACAATGATTTTGGATGATTGCGATAAAGCGTTAGCGCTTGCCGGCGCCGCTGAATTGGGACCTAAATATGCATGTGCGAACGTCACCAGAAAAGTTCTACCTCCTCGCTGTGATATACCTACAGAGACTTGTCACAGGTAACTACGTAAAACTTAATTATTACAAGCGTTGGTATTTCGAGACAGATTAATATTTATAAATATTTTGTTTTTACAAAAATTATGTCGTAACAAAATATTTTAATTGATCTTAAACGTGGGACCATTTAATATTAATATATTCTGAAGTTGTTTTCATAAATAAATAAGCAATATAAATGCTATTTATAAAATGTATTTGAAATGTATTAAAAAGTGCAATAAAGGAGTATATAAATTTATAATTTTTGTAACAGGTTTCTGGACTTGACGGGTCCGCTGCAGCTCGGCGGACTACCGAATATACCAAGCAGTTTCCAAGTGAAGAACAAAGATTTTATTGGCTGTATATCCGATTTTTATATTGATCATAAATTTGTCGACTTAAATAGGTAAGTAAACAATACAAAACTTATGATAAAAAATAATAAGATGCCGAAAGTCATAATTTCTCGGCCGGAAGTGTCCTGTTTGAATAAATTATTTTTGACATTTGTTTGTTGCCTAAGAATTGTAGAAATAAAAAAATATCAATTTTCGCTTAGATACGTATTAATAAAATTAAAAACTTCAATAAAAGAAGTACAATAGCTACCTTTACATGACACGTTTTTTCACCTGCGATCAGGAGCGCACGCTATTTAGCGAGGCAAAGTCAGCGCGCACAGTCATTACTAATTTTTCGTCGTGAAAACCGATTCGCGCGTGAAAGAGCATACGTGTAAAGAGTACAATAGAGGTGGGTGGTGCGTGTTGCAGCTTCGTGTCGGACAACGGCACGGTGGGCGGGTGTCCGGCGCGCGTGGCGCGGTGCAGCTCGTCGCCGTGCCACCACGCCGCCGCCTGCACCGACCTGTGGGCCACCTACCGCTGCCACTGCCCCGACGGGCGCACCGGCAAGGACTGCGCCGAGTGTAACTATACATATTTTCTATCGAATATATCAAGGATTTTTTTGTTACCAATATTCTTATATATAAAATACTGTCACAAAAGTTACCATATTCCGAAAGGGCTTGACCAATTTTTATGAAATTTTATATACATATTCGGTAGGTCTAAGAATCGGCTACTATCTATTTTTCATACTCCTTAATGATAAGGTAGTCCACTCCTAAATTATTTTTTCGACATAATTTTTTATTTTATTATTATGATTTAGCATTGAAAAATACATACAACCCAAAATTTTCAACCTTCTATCATCAACCCTTATTTTTAATAGTGGTTTTAATTTATATGGCAAAACTACGTTTGCGGGGGTCAGCTAGTTGATATATATTATTATATCGACAGCGACGTCTCCCCCGTGGCGCTTCAGCGGCGACGGATGGCTGTCGTTCAACCCGCTGCTGCGGCCCATCCAGCTGCCGTGGCTCAACGCGCTCTCAGTACGCACGCGACAGCGAGACGCCTTCCTTATGTCCGTACAAGTTGGACAGAATAGCACCATCCTGCTCACTGTGAGTACACTATAATAATAATAATAATAATATCCCATCAAAAACATAAATGTGAAATGATAGCCGAGTTTAATATTATGATATATGCCTTGATTGTTGACTTCTACGACAAAAGAGATGAGATCTAAATGGGTGCCAAGTTCAATGGTCTGTCCTGAAATGTATTTATAACAATATAAAATATCATTTCTTCTTATAACTTAGGATAATATACTGTAGCCTAAGGTCTAACTTGGCCAGTTCTCATATACCAATTATTTTACTTTCGATTACTAGTTACTATTAATATTAAAATAGGAACCGTCAAGTAACATGTTTAGAACTTGCGAAGGCTACAGTATATTTCGTATATGAAAACTAGCCAAGTTAGACCTTAGGCTACAGTATATTATTCTAAGTTATAAGAAGAAATGATATTTATATTGTTATAAATACATTTCAGGACAGACCATTGAACTTGGCACCCATTTAGATCTCATCTCTTTTGTCGTAGAAGTCAACAATCAAGGCATATATCATAATATTAAACTCGGCTATCATTTCACATTTATGTTTTTGATGGGATATCATTACTTTTTGTACATAAATTATACGAGGTACTTATTTATAACTAAATTAATACCAAATTATTTTTGATAAATTACTGTATTTTCGTATATTTACGGGGTATAATTGTCTTTTTTTTGTGTTATTTTCTATATTTTCTTGTAACTTTTAAATGTTCAAGTGCAATGCCAATTCAGTATCAGGAATTTTTGGGCAAATCGGGGCGGTATAACGTCCACAGATGGTTGTACTCTACAATAGAGCTCTCGTGACTTGGATCTAAATTGTTAAGACGTACTCCATCTAAGGTTTTAACTCTGGAGAGTCTAACGTAAACCTGCCCTTTATTAAATATAGAGGAGCCTATCTTGAGAAGAGGACTGCCAAAACTAAGGCCTTGTAATTTGTGGATAGTAATAGCATATGTTAAGCAAATACGGAATTGTTCTCTTTCAACATATACATTATTTAATATCTGAAACTTCGTATTGACACGTTATAAATCGAAAGTAAAGACGATTATGTAACAAATTGACTGTTATCTATTGAATTCTCAAGAAAACAATTTGTTACCAATGAGTTCTCATTCTCGAGTTAACTATACATTCCTACTTATAACTATACTAAAATTGTTATTAATTTTTGGTTTAAACTATTGTCTATACCATACGTATTTACTAAAATAATGTAATAATAATATAACCACAAATATATAAGTATAATTTAAGAAAGCTATGAATTTCGTAGCATAAATCGCAACCTTATAGGTTAGATATCGAGAAACAAAACATTGAGTTTTATCGCACCGCTCCCACACGCCGCCGCGGCGCCCTATACCGAAATGCCTATTATTTAATAATTATTTATAAAAATAATGATTTTACACTATCGATGTGCGCTAAATATTGAAACAATAATTAATACCAAATCTCAGTTAATAACATAATATATACGAAATTCGACTATACTCCTAGTTATAAGTACGAGTATATTTTAGACAGAATCTAAATTATAGCAACTAGTGTTTACCGCTCAATGCAATATTTGAATAGTTATCGACACTGATGTGAAGGGGTCAACGTAAATTGGTAATGATCGACGTTTTCATACAATATTACTTTCCGTCCAGTACAAGATGAGATTTTTCGCCAGGGATCAATGTCAATTGGTGGCTATCGACGTTTTCATAGAATTTTAGTATTCGTCCAGTATAAGTTGAAATATAATCAATTAAAGTGAAAAATTGTAGTAAAATGATAACAATTTACCAGTTTCAGATTTTTTCCTTTATATTCACCTAATTACCTATCTGCATGCCAAATTTGAACTTCCTAGGTCATCTGGAAGTGGGTAATAATTTTGATCTATAGTTGATCAGTGATAAAAATGACGATTTTTGGACATTAATATCTAAATAACCGTTTGAGATATGTTTATGAAATTTGGAACACATATTTATCTCGCAAGTCTCAATATATGAACCAAATTTGACAGGTTTGTGTGAAAGAGTTTTTGAGTTATGAGGGGGTCAAAAGTGGCTCCAAATGGTTCGTGTAAATATACACACGGTGCTGCAGGCCAGTTTACTTGAAACTCGGCTTGACACGCTACCGCGTGTCTAGATCTCAGGACAATTCACACAACGCCATCTAGTCCCAAGCTAAGCAGAGCTTGTGTTATGGGTACTAGACATCTGATATAAATACATTTTTTTTGTAAATAAATACATATCATACTCACGAATACAAATGTTTGTACCGTGCGAGGAATCGAACTCACGACCATCGGATAGTAAAGCGGTGTGCGAAACCACTAGACCGAGGCTGTCATATCAAACAGTATATTATGATTTACGAAGAGAGTAAGTCTCAAGTTGATATTTATTCAGAAATACCTCTTGATTTTTAATATATGTTTTGGTTGTATTATGGTAATTGGTAAATCGCGTCCATCCAGTGACGCTAATGGTACCACCATTCATTCATTGCCATTCCGGAGATCTAATATATCATGCCTCACAGTATTTTCATTGCATAATCAACCTAAATACATCTATCGGAAATCGGAGGTATCGGAAGCATCTGCTTATCATCTGAAATTAGTGAGTCATGGATTTTTTTTATATTACGACATTGGCAAACAAGTACGCAGCGCATCTTATGGTAAACGATAATGTAACCTATAGACGCCTGAAACAGGAGAGTCACGTACGTCACGTACGCGTTGCCGAAGCTCAATAGGTAATTGATTCCACTCTATAAGGGTACGCGGCAGGAAGCTCCTCTAAAACCTTTGTACAAAATTTAATTCAGAGAGGTTTTTTAATCAAATAAATAATTTATAATAGCTGAAATCCGGGCTGCTCCACTACTCGTACAACGGCGAAGCGATGTTCCTACCGTCTACTGACCTAGCAGATGGGGAATGGCACCGTATAGAGGTCACGTGGCTCGGTACAGACATCTCAGTGAGCATAGACTACGGCCTGAGAACAGTTCTATTGCCGATGTTGGCCAATAAAGTTCAGGGACAGTATGTTGGCAAGATTTTGATCGGGGCACCAGATACCACAGCTGGCTTATTGGCGTCCGATTACGGATATTTTGAAGGATGCATACAGGTAATTTACATAAACCCTTAAATTTACATAAAACTGCATTCATCATAAAAGTACACTTATGTATTTTAGTTCAGTTTACAATTTTCTAGCATTTTTTATACTCTTTATAAAAGCAATTTGTTTGAATTTCAAAACTAAAAATCGAATTATGTAAAATTCCTATAGTTACATTATATACAAACTACAAATTGTGTAATAGTAATAGTCATACTAAAACACCAATTCTGTATTTATCTATCTAATCTTTTTTAAATCTGTTATAAAAAATAGATCTGTAAAAAAGTTATGTATATATGTAAGTATTATATATATGTAAGTAGTATATATATGTAAATATATTTTAGGATGTACGCGTTGGAACACCTCAGTCGTTACTCAATCGGCCCACAGTGAGGGAAAACGTAAAGGATGGCTGCCAATCGCGAGCTGACTGCATGCTCTCCATATGTCCACCCTACGTAAGTTTCAATGTGTTATATTTCTGATTTTTATTACAATTACATAAAATACCAGCCAATATGAATTAATGAAACGAGAATTAGGTTCATGATATGAATTTACAATACGAAACTATTTTATGAATGACATAGTCACTTGTAGCTAAATTAGCCTCTATTGTGTACAGAGCACGTGCGTGACGTCATGGGACCGCACGTGGTGCGAGTGCGAGAGCGGGCGAGTGGGAGCCACGTGCGCGCACGCGTGCTCACTGCCCGTGTGCGGGCCCAACGCCACGTGTCGCGCAGACTCGTCGCCCAAGGGATACTCCTGCGTCTGTGATGATGGATACGTACTCACTGGTCAGTGTATTGTATTGTTATTTTTATTTCAAGGTTTCTTGATTGTTTAATGTATATTAAAGTTATTATCGTTTCTAGAAATTTTGGTGAAATAAGGTTCTAAAATATAATTCCGTCTTATTTAAGTAATAGACTACTTTTTACTGTGATTTCGTCCACATGATCATATTTAATTTGGTTATTATCACCAAGACATCAGGATGCATAAAAATTATATTTTAGCAAACGTTGTTTAAAATTTTTATAGACAAATATATCAAAAAACGTAATCCACAGAGTCGGGGTGTGTGTCGGCCTCATCTGATGAGTGCCCAGGCGGGTGGTGGAGCGCAGCCGGAAGTGACGCACCAGCAGAAGCCAGCACAGAAGCAGGCGCGGGAGCGGAAGTGAATACGACTACCACAACGATCGCGAGGGCAGGAGCATGCGGCCCGTGCGAGTGTGACCCGGCTCTCGGGTACCATCCGCACTGTCATCGACGCACCGGCGCTTGCCACTGCAAGGTATATCCTCATACTTCATATATGTACAAATGGATTTTTTATGGTCTTGTATTATTCCTACATTTATCACAGCGCTTTATTTCAATGAATACTTTACCCCATTTTCAGATTTTTTCCCCATTCCAAATTCGTCTGCTTGCCAAAGTAAATAATACTTTATCTCACTTGTCGTAGCCGTTAAACAGTTTGTAAGTTAATTATACTTGTAACGTGAGGTTTGGTAATGAATTTAGAGGATACGGAGGTCATAACATCTTAGTCTTTCAGAACGGCAGCGCGTGAGAGGTACATGATCACTCGATTTTCGTTTCGATATACATAGGTGATAGCTATCTAGTCGAAATGGACAAATCGTCAGGCAACTCGTCTACCGTTCCATTTACAATCTTAATTTGTCCATAGAGAAAGATAAGTATACAATACATAGAGAAAGATAAATATACGGAAATTTGTATGGGCGTACAGGAGAACCACTACCGGCCGGCGGGCTCAGCGGCGTGCGTGCCGTGCGCGTGCTACGCAGCGGGCGCTGCGGGCGGCGCGTGCGCGGCCAGCGGCGGCCAGTGCGCCTGCCGCGCCGGCGTCGTCGGCCGCGCCTGCGACGCGTGCGCCAACCTGTACGCGGAGGTCGCCGCCGGCCTCGGCTGCCAAGGTAACGTGCCGCCCTCGGTGCGAGGCCACGTGCCGGCCAGTGCGCCTGCCGCGCCGGCGTCGTCGGCCGCGCCTGCGACGCGTGCGCCAACCTGTACGCGGAGGTCGCCGCCGGCCTCGGCTGCCAAGGTAACGTGCCGCCCTCGGTGCGAGGCCACGTGCCGGCCAGTGCGCCTGCCGCGCCGGCGTCGTCGGCCGCGCCTGCGACGCGTGCGCCAACCTGTACGCGGAGGTCGCCGCCGGCCTCGGCTGCCAAGGTAACGTGCCGCCCTCGGTGCGAGGCCACGTGCCGGCCAGTGCGCCTGCCGCGCCGGCGTCGTCGGCCGCGCCTGCGACGCGTGCGCCAACCTGTACGCGGAGGTCGCCGCCGGCCTCGGCTGCCAAGGTAACGTGCCGCCCTCGGTGCGAGGCCACGTGCCGGCCAGTGCGCCTGCCGCGCCGGCGTCGTCGGCCGCGCCTGCGACGCGTGCGCCAACCTGTACGCGGAGGTCGCGCCGGCCGGCCAAGGTAACGCCGCCCTCGGTGCGAGGCCACGTGCCGGCCAGTGCGCCTGCCGCGCCGGCGTCTCGGTGCGAGGCCACGTGCCGGCCGGTGCGCCTGCTCGGTGCGCCGGCGTGCGCCTGCCGCGCCGGCGTCGTCGGCCGCGCCTGCGACGCGTGCGCCAACCTGTACGCGGAGGTCGCCGCCGGCCTCGGCTGCCAAGGTAACGTGCCGCCCTCGGTGCGAGGCCACGTGCCGGCCAGTGCGCCTGCCGCGCCGGCGTCGTCGGCCGCGCCTGCGACGCGTGCGCCAACCTGTACGCGGAGGTCGCCGCCGGCCTCGGCTGCCAAGGTAACGTGCCGCCCTCGGTGCGAGGCCACGTGCCGGCCAGTGCGCCTGCCGCGCCGGCGTCGTCGGCCGCGCCTGCGACGCGTGCGCCAACCTGTACGCGGAGGTCGCCGCCGGCCTCGGCTGCCAAGGTAACGTGCCGCCCTCGGTGCGAGGCCACGTGCCGGCCAGTGCGCCTGCCGCGCCGGCGTCGTCGGCCGCGCCTGCGACGCGTGCGCCAACCTGTACGCGGAGGTCGCCGCCGGCCTCGGCTGCCAAGGTAACGTGCCGCCCTCGGTGCGAGGCCACGTGCCGGCCAGTGCGCCTGCCGCGCCGGCGTCGTCGGCCGCGCCTGCGACGCGTGCGCCAACCTGTACGCGGAGGTCGCCGCCGGCCTCGGCTGCCAAGGTAACGTGCCGCCCTCGGTGCGAGGCCACGTGCCGGCCGGTGCGCCTGCCGCGCCGCTAATTTTTCCTTTACCTTAGGAAAATTTAGGCTTGCCACGGCTGCCAACATAACATGCGGCCCTCGGTGCAAAACGTTGCCGAAGATAACGGTATTAAAGTATCTTGTCAACCTCCAATGCCGAGATTAAATAATATAAAACTTGGTAATAAGCAAAAATGAATTACCTGTCCACCAATTGGCAATGTAGCCAGTTGAATATAATCACATCTGAAATTCCATATACATAATACATTAAAATGCTCTAAATCTTAGTTTAGATAACTTTAAATATTGAACGAAATTAAGGTAATTTCTTTTCTAACCTTCATTTCGTCGTTATAATGAAGAAAAGTTTTAGTTTTCTACTAGTTTTCTACTCGCAATATACTGTATCTAATACAATTTCGCAGTTGTCTATGATGGGTGTCCACGCTCGTTCTCTAATGGTGTATGGTGGCCAAGAACTAAATTCGGAATTGAAGCTGTTACGGATTGCCCGACAGGTAACAATTAATTTTTTTGAAGATTTTGACGTGTCCTTGTAAACAATATTTCAACAGTAATTTTCAATATATGTTATATTGGTCATAATATATTGTTAAATTGCTAATGTAGCTTATGTAAAGAGACAAGTAATGTCTTGAAATGATGTTTAATTCCATAAACTACCATTGATCATATTTTAATTAATGTATACATATTTTGCTTAGGAGCAAGCGGTAAAGCTACTCGTATGTGCGATAAAACTCAAGTGGTCCCTTGGCAGGAACCAGACATGTTTAACTGTACCACATCTACCTTCTACCAGTTGAGGCAACAGGTATGATGTATCTCATTTACTATGATTTCTTTTTATTCTTTCGTATAGGTATATTTTTGATTAGTTTCTAAAATAAAATTTTATTATCCATTGCATACCGAACTAGAAAATGTAATATATTGAATGTTAAATACATTCAACGTATTTCAAGACATGTTGTGTCCATGTCTTCACAGTTTATATAAAAAGGCATTTTTACATGGCCTAATTAATTAACCTTACTATTTTCATAATATTGACAAAGAACAGGAAATTCAAAGTAGTAATTGTGCAGTTATCTATTTAAAACCTCTTTCCAGTTACATAAGATTCAAACTGGCGAGTTAACAGTGAATACATTCGTCGGAGTTCGTCTCGCCGATGACCTCAAATCTGCTTGTCTAAACACTCCACATCTTTATGGAGCTGATATCCTGGTAGCTGAAGGAATATTACTAGAGTTGCTGCAGTATGAATTAAAACAAGCTGGATTGAATCTCACGCATAGTCAAGACAAGGATTACGTTAAAGTAAGTAACATCATATGGACACAAAACATATTCACCTGATAATTATGAGTAAATAACTCATAAATATCAGATGAATCTGTTTAAGCTGGTTGTTTGCTAAACGGAGTAAAAAAAATGGTATGGTCCTTCGAACCGGATGTGGTTTAACTATTATAAAATATTGTATTGTTGTTTTTGATACTTGCAGAATATTATCACATCTGCGAATACGATACTAAACGGGCAATATGGGACTGAGTGGTCGCGTATACGGAAGATGTTGGGGCGCGGCGCGGAGGAGCTGGTGCAGCGCTGCGACCGCTACATCGCAGCGCTTGCGCACACACAGCACGATACATACACTAGCCCCTTCGAAATCGTCACTAGCGATATAGGTACGACCCTATAGTTATAGATCGACATGGAAAACTCGGATTATTTTACGTTTGATCAGCATGTTCATAGTAGATTAAGAGCCCCCTTATATGAAAAGAGACCATTTTCCAGCAGTGGGAGTTTAAAAGAATGTTATAACAATATAATTAAAAAAATTGTCAACGCTTGCTTTGTATAGACCTGGTTTTACTATAATAAATAAATAAATATATTTTTAAATAACAGTACACGAAATTTGATAAATTTAAATAAATTTCGTTTTATTTTTTGATTTTGAATATATTTCATTCAACATATTATTATATAGTAGACTAAGCTAGTAGTAAGACTTTCTCTTTTTAAAGTAATTCATATATTAAATGTAGTAAAAGTAAGTATATTTTGACTGTTACTTGCAGTAATTGGAGTGGACATAGTGACAGCAGAATCCATCTACGGTTTTGAGCCGACCCAACTGAACCGTTACAACATCGAAACATACACGACCGAGCGCGTCGTACTCCCCGACACGTCGGCTTTCATACATTCTCCCATACAAGCCTCATACGGCACTGGGAAGGTGAAGAAGAAACCCTCCAGTCCCACGGTCTCCTTCCCCAAATACAACAACTATGTGAAGAATAAGAATAAATTTGATAAGTACTCAAGAATACTGCTTCCGTTGGATTTGCTCGGCATAACGAATTATCAAGGTAAGGATTTTATAATTATTCTTGTAAATAGTATGCCTTATAACATTAGCTATCAGGGAGTAAAAAACCCATCAAAGTCCTGCCATTTCAAAAATTAGCAAGAAAAATAGACAGATAAAAAAATATTTTTAGATATAAATACTGTATATGCTTTTGTAGCCTTTAGTTAAAAGCTGTTTATTTGATATTACAAACTAACATTTCAATTTAATTTATTCGTAAATAGACATATAAATTTTGATTATCTAATTGAAAATGTGATATATAGTTTTAATTTAATTATATACAGAACAGTACGCCACATAGTAAATACTAAGCGATCAATTTTTCACGCGTTGATTCTTCATAATACTAGAGACTAACTAGATATCTTCGTATTTGTACTATATTAAGTATCAGGATAGTAGTAAATTAAATTAAATTGTCTACAGAAAATACTGACACAAACTATGAATCGCGTGCAGTATTCGCTTACCTCCAGTACTCCAAAAATACCTCAGAACTTATGCCAATGCGTATGGATGAGTCAGTGAGCCAACGATGGGGAGTCAACATTACAATTGGCTCTCCAATACTTCAAGTTGCCCTATTCGTGCCCGAATATGTGTGGATAAGAGAATCGCATGAAAGCAAGGATGATAACTCTATGGAAAATAACGCCGATGATATGGAAGGTAAGTCATAAAATTAAGGATCATTTTACTTATCAATTAACGTCCCTGAATAATCCTAATGTATTTCATAAACTTCTATATGGAATATAAAAAAACTGCTAATAGTATTAAGAACATGTCTTTTTTTTTTATATAACGCTTCTTTTTACTTTGCTTTTTATAATATTATGTATTGAAATAAGTTTAAAAAACTTTAACGCTTAACCTGAGAAATATTTGGGTTCCTTTAAAACCCCTGTTATTATCTTTGTGTAGGAACCTTAACAATATACATGCTACTGTATTGATCCGGTATTAAAACTATAGTAATAACCATCTTTAGTATTCTTCCAAAGCCGTTAGCAATGGTAAAAATGAAACATTTTAATGTTCTACATAATTTGATTGATTACAGGAATAACTTATGCTAATAAAGGTCATAAATCAAATACCAATAACCACATTAGTCTAAATCTACCGTCCAAAAACACATGGTCTCACGACGATGAGACGTCAAATCACGAGAACCACGGACCTATACTTATACAGCCAGCGTTCAAGAAACAAGAAAAAATCGCTTACACCGATGACAACCTTCAAGAAAACGAATCTAGTTATGTCGCTGATAAAAATGTAGTAGAAGGGCCTAAAGTGATGGCTTTGTCTATGGATTCTGAGGATAGAAATAAGGATAGCACGAATTCAACTCGAGATGTTGGAAAGAAAAAGTTGATATACAAAAGTATGGGTGGTATAAGATTGAAGAAACCGATAAGATTACAGATGTGGCTCGATATCGATAAAGAGACATTTGGTTCTAGAACTAATCCACAATGTGTTCACTGGTCAACTTTGAGAGGGTAAGTAAAGTAATTATTCGCACTAGCGTGCGTGTAAAGGCAGCTAACTATGCGTTCTCTCTAGCTTATTAACACAGTCAGTAAAGAGGATATTTTTATTTAATTATTTATTATTATTAGTTTCGGCGAGTGGTCCCGCGTGGGTTGCCACACTGAAATTGACTACGACTGGTCTCCGTACTCTAACGAGCCGCTCCTCATCAACTGCACCTGCAACCATCTCTCCACCTTCGCTGTACTCGTTGACGAAGTTGACATAGAGGTATGACTGTGTGTTCTTTTAATTCTATATTCTGAAAACGCAATTATCAATCAAACGATATTTTTAACTAAAGCATCGATTACTAAAGAATTTACATATTTGACACTAAACTATATTGAAATATTAATCCAACACTGTACTAAATAAAGCGTGTAAACCATAGTTTTTAAGACAATAGCTTTACATTTTTGCTAAAATACTTGAATATAATTATTATAGTAGTTATTCTATAGTGAATTTTTTTAGCGAATGTAACGTAATTAATTAAAATTATACTATTTTCTATTACCCATAGTTTATCCCAGAGCCATCTTTACTGGAGTCAGTGACATCGTACACTGCGTTCAGTATATCGCTTCCGCTATTGTTTATGACTTGGGCGGCGTTATGTCTCGTGCGAGGCGGCGCGGCCACCGTCTCCAACTCTATACACAAGCATCTAATCTTCTCCGTGTTTATGGCGGAGTTGTTGTATCTCATTGCTATGAAGGCGAGAAATACCTTAGTACAGAATGAGGTGAGTCCTAGCTAATGCTATAAATGTTAGTGAACTTTCATTGCAACCATTTTGAATTTGAAGGGAGAAATACATCGTATATTCGAATTTATTTACGCTGTCTATGTGGTAATGATTGCTAGCAATGTATCATATCAGTTTTCACACTGATGAATTCGTTAGATCTATTGTTCTGACTAACTGCATCTGCATCATGTTTAACTGGCGTAAAGGGTTAATGATAGGACATTATAGCAATGTAAAATATCTGATTCCACGCTGATGAATTCGATACATTACTGTTCTGACCAGCTCGACACATCGAATCGCTTTCCACCGGCGTCCCACTAGCGTGTATTTTTAACCATAAACACACGTTTCAACTGATGCGATACGTGCGCAGTTCTCGTGCAAGCTGACGGCGATGGGGCTGCAGTACTGGTGGGCGGCGGCGCAGGCGTGGGCGGCGTGCGACGCGTGGCAGGTGCGGCGGCTGGTGCGCGAGGTGCGCGACGTCAACCACGGCTCGCTGGCCGCGCCGCTCGCCGCCGGCTACGCCGCGCCCGCAGTGCTGCTCGCGCTCGCCGCCGCGCACCACCAGCACCAGTACGGGAACGCGCTCTTGTAAGTTCACACTGCTCATCGCTACTGCACTCCGTTCTATTATATTCACGATTACTTCAATTTCTAAATTAGGTCAAAGCCCACAGCTTTCATCTCGGTGTATCTTAAACAAAATTATACTATTTGTAGTGTGTCGCAGTCGCCATGAGCGCCGCCTTCACTATCTCTTCTCTAGTGTAAAAAATTCTCTTGTCGCGGTGTTTTTTACTAAATTACTACTACTATATATATATTACTACTACCCTATTTTTAATAACGATTTATATCGCAACGAAATGAGCTAGTATATATGTAATGGTGTTGTTGAGTGTGTGTTGGTCTGCAGCTGCTGGGTGAGCTGCCACGAGCCGGTGGTGTGGTGGGTGGTGGCGCCGGCGGCGGTGTGCGCGGCCGCAGCGGTCGTGTGGCTCGCCGCCGCCACGCGCGCCGCCTTCACCGTGCGCGACCACGTCGTCGGCTTCGGGAACCTCAGGTCTCATACCAAACTCATTAAATCAGTCTACGAAATTGAAAGAATCAGTCTACATCACGCTTGCTCACAGCACAAGTATGTTTATATATATGCCAATAGCTGCATTTCATGCGGGAATCAACTTTCACTGAGAAAAAGATATGTATGTAAATGTAAACAATGAGAACAAGAAACGCAAAATAAACCAATCATAGTTATAATAGTAGATCAGTCTCTACGAGCACTGGCAAATAAGCCGTCTGGTGCAAACAATAGTTGAAAATGTATAGACGCCTGAAAGATAAGTGGTATGACGTTTGCGTAGTCGACTGTACCTTAGTCTCTCGCGAGAGTGATTACATCGGTGGCCATTGTTATGTCGTAGGCTGGTGGTGGGCGTAAGCGTGGCGTGCCTGCCGCTGCTGACGGCGGCGTGGGCGAGCGCGCTAGTGCTGGCCAGCGAGACGGGCGCGCGTCGCGCAACACCGGCGGCGCTGCTGGCGGCCGCGGTGGCCGCGCACGCCGCGCTCGCCGCGCTCGGCCTCGTGCTCGCCAACGTGCGCGTGCGCGACAACCTGCGCAGGTACCGTCGCCGACACCTCGCACACTTGTACTCTAGTCCACGCCGGCGGCGCTGCTGGCGGCCGCGCTCGCCGCGCTCGGCCTCGTGCTCGCCAACGTGCGCGTGCGCGACAACCTGCGCAGGACTATTTCACTCCACTACGTCATTTATATTATTTACAGCATAGGCTGTAACAATCATAGTTTTCACCCATTATAATATTTAATTTACATTGTTTATTATCAGACAACATCTCGCCTTTATTTAATATCGACGAGAGTCTTTATCGCTCCTGACGACCACATTTGTCAATACATCTGCCTACACTAAAGTCTAAGTTAACAGTTGAGAAGACGTATTTTCATAAATTCTGTGCTGCAAATTTTTCTTATTCTTAACTTTATTTCTGCAGAACCATCCTTAGATGCATGGGCAAGAAAGTACCTTTGGTCGACACATCTATTATTGTTAGCAGCAGCGCTCAAAATTTGTCGCAAATAAATAGGTATGTATAATAATTAAAAATTATTTACCTGTAAATTACATAATACATTGTAAATCTAATGCGTATGTATGTAATAAACTAATGATATCATCAGATCAGCACTGGCCTACCACAGCAGTACAGAGCCAGGTCGACAAATGCGCAATATTGGCATATCAGCATCATCAACAACATCTAGGTCTACTACGAAAACAAGTTCCAGTCCTTACAGGTAAGTACATAGGTATGATACCTGTATACATAGAAAGAACAAAAAAGTAAATTGAATCATGAGTTTAAATAGTGGTTGGGTTAGTCGATTTGCAGTTTTGAGAAGGTAAAATAGTAGCTCATTGCAGAATCTAGTATATATTACTTTTACTCGTGCAGATACAACTTGTAGTCCATACGAAATGATATTAATAATCGATAAACATTAACATAAACGGACACTGAATTATAATGTCATTTGATGTCGTCGTTTTTTGGTTAAACTAAGAAATAAAAGAGATGTATGTTTAAGAAAGATGTATGTATTAAGTACTTTTTTAATTACGATTCAGTCGCAGTGATGGGCAGCTACGTCACACGAGCACATCAACGTCAAACTACAACACGAGCGCGAGCGACATGCCCGCTTATCTTAGAGGGTTTGATTCATCATTACACAGTAGAAAGGATGGTGAGTTAACGTTTAAAGAGTACGTAATTATAGCTTACTTTCTTCCAAATAGTAAAATCTGAGAATGAACTTTTCCAAACCCACACATTTCGTACCGTTTAAAATTTCTATATATAATCATTGTGGTATTCTCATTTGTGATAAATATAAATATAAATCTAAAACAAAATATCCTCTGATAAAAATGACTACTACTATAAGATTAGACTGTATAATATCGTTTGCGTGTGTACCTCGGTCTCATATATTTTAGCCGCCAAGCAGCTGGCTCTGTAAACTGTCTTTCAGTTGTATAGAATTAGACCCATGACTTCTTAGTCCTATGGAGGTGCTATGCATAATTAGTAACACGAGTGTCGTAGTGTAACGTCAGGTCCGTAGTGCTGTATATAGGTGACTATTACGGCTTATCATCAGGTGGACCAACAGCTTGTTTGCCATTTTAATTACATAAAAAAACTGTATTGACTAAGGAATTTAGTTGAAAAGTTACAGTTTCTATTAGTTTTTCGTAGTAAAGTTTCTAACTTTGTCATATAAAATTTCTTGTTAGATGAGAGCCGCCGCCGCCGTAAGGCAGCCGCTGAGGCGGCGGAGGCCGGCGAGACCGGAGAAACAGCAGAGGAAGCGACCGAGGCCACCGACAGCGACAGCGAGAGCGCGCGCAGTCTCGAGCTGGCCTCCAGCCACTCGTCCGACGACGACGAGACCAGCACGCGCCGCTCCAGCCATCCGCCATCTGCCACCAGTCAGTACACCCATGCCTACTAGCGTCAACCTACAGCCTAAAGTCATTCCTCTTGTGACTGGAGCGGGAACACAACAATGATTTTATTGAAAATCAGAATAAATATATAATAATAAATGTGTATATTTCCCAAAAGAGATCACAGCGAAGAAGTGAAAAGTGACATATATAAAACAGACATCAAAAATACAAAGTTTATATAAAGAATGGTAGACAAGCTGCCAGCGACACCTCTTTTTTTAGAACTTTGTTTTCTCTACCTATTTTCATTAGAGACCTGAAAATCCCTGTAGTAAATTATATGTTTCCAAATACATATGAAGTTACTATTAGGTATTATAGTGCTATGAAAATAACGAATATTTTATTTAATATTATCTGTAGTTTCGTTACTTATGTAGAAGTACCTATATATTTAAAGAGCCCATAATGAACCTTGATTTTTTTTTTATATTAAAATTTGAGCGCGTTTGACATTTCAATTACTGTCTTATTTAGACATATATATACTACTCGCCTTTTTCTATTTCATAACATTACAAATTCATATCATAATAAAATTGTAATAATTTAGAAAGTAAAATATTAGAATTATCAATGTTCTATATATTAAAGTATTATTTCTAGGGGATCGTGGTAATAGCAGCGCAGGTGGCAGCTACTTACCAAATATAACCGAAGGTGCACCGTTAGCCATTCCTCCAAGATGGCCGTCGCACATGAGAGAAGGTAAATCAAATTTCTTATCTGAGCCGAGAAGACGCTGCTAACCTTGGTAGCTATTGTCTCTATTCCACTCTCATTGTTCGATTACTGTCTTATTTAGACATATACATATTTTTATTTTATGTATATATTCATCTTGATGATATATTAACATCTCATTTGCTCTATATAATTGTTAAATTCCTATCTCCTATTCGTCTGTCGTTATTGAATTCCTTTTCGGTCTAGCACACCGCTTTACGTCCGATGGTCGCAGGTTCGCTTCCTCGCACGACACAAACATTTGTATTCATGAGTATGAGTGTTTGTATTGGTCTTTTCTATGTATAATATGTATGTATTTACGAAAAAAAATCTATATACTTATATCAGTTATCTAGTGTCCGTAACACAAGCTTTAGATAACTTAACTTGGCACTAGATGGCGCTGAGTGAATCGTCCTGAGATTATTATTATTATTATTGTTGAATTTACATATTCTTTTGTCTATTGAATATCTATCTAGCTATAAAGAACAATCATTATCTTCTTACATTCGTATATTCTTATAGACTTCCTATTAGATAATTTATCGCCAATTATGTTTAATAAGTCCACTTAATCTCTACAGAACCGGGCCGCCAAGATATGGGACGATGGTCCCAAGAGACTGGATCAGACAACGAGGGACTAAATCCCGGACTGGCTTCACCGTCCCCCAACCCACTGCCGAACCCTGATTTAACGTCAGACGTGTACCAGTTGAGTCGACACCGATTAAAGCCATCCATACTGGAAAACGTACACGACACATATGTGGCTAGTGTCGATGCTTCCAGACTACCGTTGGATAACAGGTACTTTATTATTTCATATTGTCAAAGAAAAATGTATTTTATTTTAATAACCTTAATAGCATCTTTGGAATAGTCTTTTTTAATTATTTTATTTTATTTATATTTGGTAAATCTAAACTATTACTAAACATAATTAAAATAGCGAAGCCACTTAAAGATTTTTCACAGTTATCTGTTCATGTGATATGTATTAATAATTTGAGAAGTAAATTTGTGTGATGGGAAAAGGCAATAAATCATGTTATTTGTTTTAATCTATAACATTATCTGTTCTTAAATAAAGAACTTTTGAGTTATTAAGTGCTATTTACAGATATGGTGTAATGGATGAGGAACTTATGTATGGTGTACTATCAACGGAAACGGAGAAACAAATGCCATACGATCCCAATTACCCTATCTCACCAACCATGTACCGGTTACCCGGTAACCCCTACGGCTCCAAAACTTACTTGTCATCTAGAACGTCCGACTATGGGTACAGTCCGACCAAGTATATGAACCCAGAAACAAATATGTACGGATCACGTGATTTCCGGGAAACGGGGGTTACCACGAGAGAGCACGATGGTTATCCACCGCGGGATTTTAGAGATTCCGGCATCGCTACCATGTTGAAAAATGACTATCAGAGGAAAATGGAGAGTCACTACGGAGCGGAATATAACGAGAGGATGTCAGAAGGATCTGATTCCCATCGTCCTCATGATAAATACCTATTTCCCTACACGGGTACGTAGCATTATTTTGTTTGTAGAGTGCGCTGTAAGATATGGATTGCGTCTTTTTTTGCCCCGTATGTAGTCATGAATATATCCTCAATTTTTTTATTACCTACATTTAACTTTGTTTTGTTAAAATTCAGTATTGTTTTATAATAACAATAGTGAAATTTGTTGCTTCTATTTATTCTTTATATTAGCTTTTATCGAAGACAATCCACACATGTAAGTAATTGCAAAGTTGTCTTTTCTTCCGTTTTAATTAGCGATATGTTTTAATTTATATTGCCTACAATTGTGTGAACAGTGTAAGTTAGCTTGAAATGTAATTAATTTTACCCTTTCTATTCCTTTATTTTACTTTTGACAGCTAGCATGCTGTAAAATATCAATATACGTAGCAAAACAAACTTGTCAAACAACTAGAAGCATTTTATTTGTATTTTGAAGACTATAAGATTCTAACTGGGCCCGTAACCTGTTGAATTGGAAGATATTCCGAGTTATATGGACTGTACTTTATAAAAAACGGACGACATGATGTTAAACATAATTTTAATCTCTCAGTATATTTTTTTACAAGGACCGAATTTAATAGACACGTACAGTTATGTATATGAACATCTATATACATTCAACATTGCCAACAAAATGCTCTACGACTGGGCTATTTATATTTAAGAATAAATTTTATATATATTTATCAAATAAATATAAATATATACACGATTACTTATTGAATAACTTAGCTGTCAAAAATAAAATAAAATAATGGAACGAATGTAAGGATAGCATTTGATCGGTCCGTTTGTGTAGCGGAGGAAGATCACGCGAGCACCCGCGGGGCAGCAGCCGTCCCCAACCGTACACAAGCAGGTAACGAACAAACACACATTTTATTTTGCATTCGTTGTGTGACACTGGTTTTGTTATACCCGCCTTTATTTATTTTATTTGCTAATACTAGTAGTGTAAATACTGATTTTTTAATTGATGATATTGGAATGGTGTACACCTCTGTGCTGGCGGGACACCTGTGGAGGATGATAAGATGAGCATGAGGTCAGGTCAGTTAACACAGCGTGACAAATTCACCAGGAATTTATCATGATGATTTACAGGGGGAACTGCGTGGAGGTTAACCTGACATAGAACATTGAGAAGCAGTGGGGTGACCATTGCACCATTGCTTCTCAATCACACATTACTATCAATCGCCTTTGCCCCGTGTATTTAGGACTACAATAATTATAAAATAATATTATACCTAAAAATTAGAAACTTATCCTCAATTGCATTAAATCTTGTTAATGTACATTAGTATCTTATTCATCCATTCTTAGTAAACTACACATGTACAATGTAATAAACGTTAATGTATTGATTTTTTTTATGTTGATCCCCACTTACATTTTATTGTACAACAATAAGGTAAAAGTTAGATAAAATTTCAAAGATAGACAAGTGTTTCCTATAAGATAGATAAATTTTGATCTGCATTATACTAATTTATCTCTGACCCTTAATCAATAATATCTTCAATCTTCGTATTGTTTAGGCGATCCACCGCAACAGATGGGGGCGCCACTAGCAAGTATGGGAGAAACCAGCGAGTAAGTTTTTCTATTTCTCATCATTTCATATATATTTCCAAATTAATGCATGATTGCATGTTACGATTACATTATTTATTATGAATCATCAGTCTATATAACATTGGTGGAATCAATATTTATTGTAGGTTAATATTTAACGAAATGTATAATATTTTTATTATAATATGATTATTGAGTATATCAGCAACCAATTATTTACTTGGAATTGAACTAAATTTACTAGAATATCTGTATAATAGAACAAATTATCCGAATTATGTGTACATATTTTTGAAATTGTTATAAAATTATAATATATAAAATTGTAATAAATATTGATTATATTTTCGTACTTTATTAATATGTATATCCGGTTATTTTTAATATTAATTTTTACTATTTATATTACTCTCGATAATTTCGTAAATACCTTAAATAATTTTTGTTTAGTACTATCATCTAGAAGAATTCGTCACGATAAAGAAATCGCGAGATTTCACTTTTAATTCTTATGAAATATGATCATGATGATATGAAATATATCTTATGTATGTATACCCTCATGTACTGGTTAAATTAAGTAACAGGTGGCTACAGATCACAGTAAACAACGTACAATGATGCTTGCATAGTAACTACGAAAAATTTTCACGTTGTATTGAAATGGTACTCAAGTTATTGTATGGTGCCAATAGATGGCAGTACTGGGCATACTAAACATTAAAATTGTCTATAGATGGTGGCGGTTGTATGAGAAACACTCATTGTAAATCATCTTTTGCTTTGCTAACTGGTGGTGTTGCCGCGCTCTAAATCATCACTCGCCTTAGGGAGGAGGTAATCACTACATTTACATTACATTTCGCATGTTTTATGTACACTGATATAAGAAAATCCCAAATAGCCACATGTGGAACGTTGTCAAGTTTATTATATTATTGTTTAACTGTTATTGGTGTATTACACTATCATATAATGATAATAATTTTATTACTTTCATTTGAGAGTCATAAATACAGGCAAAAGAAAATAAAATTAATCTTGCTACTGTATTAATATCGACAAATACATTCATTATTCTATTTGATGATGTAATTTACCCTTTATACACTATTCAATCCTAAACTTATTAGGTAGTAAATTTCCATTTAGACCCACTAAATAGCCGTATAGTTACTATTAATATTTATTAATAATTTGCAGAGTTCAAACAAAGGATTTGTTTGAAATCATATTGACTTATTTTGTATAAGGCAGTACTACATCATCACCTTTTCAGAAATAGTGTGCACTTAGTATATAGTATTCTAATTTCCTCACTATTCCTTTAATTAAATCATAATTGTCCTCAATAAATGTATAAAGAATTTTTAAGAAGTAGTTTAAGGAAAATAATATTTGTATTAAATCGAATTTATTAATTAAATCTCGTTTCAGGAAATCTACTACTGAAGATGACGCCGAGACAAGAGTTTAATACTCCATTATAGTACAAGATTTCCAATGATTCTCAATTAGTTTATTAATTTAATTATAAGTATACTTAATCATTGTAATTAGTTAATTTTCTGCGAAGACTGTTAAACAATCAGTGTCCACTGCCATAGAGTAGAGTTTGCATAACGGCTACTTTATTTATTTTGGTCTATGCTTTAGGTACATATATTTCGCTATAGATATTTTATAGCGGAGCTTACTGATATTTTAAGTGTATGTCTAAATTGTTTGATGCAATACTAAAGTCCGTTCTTAAAAAACCTAATAATGGTCTGCTAACCCAGCGGTAAATGTTTTAGAGGGCTACTTTTAAAGACTTCTGGTAACGGTGGAACATATGGCTTCGTATCAAATTCGTTTCCCGCTTGGTTATGGAAGCCGACTTTCAATATTAGCTCAAGATTGAATAACCTCGTTTATTAAACTTCGTGCGCGGCTTTCCCTAACAAATCATATGGCAGACGTCTATGGGATATGGAAAATAATGAGACGCGGTTAGATGAGCCCTCAGATATGAAACCATTTCAGTCGTATTAAAAAAAATACTACTCCCGGTTCTATTGTCTGTAATTCTCTTGAAATATTGCGAAGTTGGCAGGATATAGTCGTGCAAGGTACTAGATTTGCTCTAAAGTATATAGCTATACAATGTGGTAGTTATTGATTTATCTTTGATAACTCATTACCGGGACTAGTGCAAATTGTTGTTTGTGGACATTAATAATATTAAATTAAGGTTGAAAAGAATCAACGACATCCAAAGTCAGTTGTGTAAATAGTCATGTAGTATTATATAGTGAACTCTATATAATACTACATGACTATAGATGTCGTTGATTCTTTTCAACCTTAATTTAATATTATTAATGTAATTTGATCGGTATATATAGAGTTCAATTAATGATCGTAAAGCAGTTTAAATTAATATAAGTAGGTATGGTTCGCGTAGGACGCGCTATGGATAGCTAATGTTTCATGTTTGTCTATGGAACTGCTGTTGTATGTATAATGTATCTGATGCACCAGTGACTAAAGAAATTAACTCTTTGATAATTTAAATATATACATATATTATTGTTATGTAGTTATGGTCATTGTCAGATATGATATCTAGTGGTGGTGGCGAATCTTAAAAAAATAATTAGATAGTCAAAATGTCACTGAATATAGATTTGCGCGCAAAAACTAGGGAGAATTAGCATTTTTTTATATAATCATGCATGCATATTTATTCGTCGTCAATGAACTTGATTTTTTCAATGTTATTTAATATTCGTAAATTGATGATATCTGATATTGATTGTACCAACATATTTACATACATTAATTTAGTTACATGGTGCTTCAGAATGAATACCAACGTAGTAGATCTACAAATTATTTTTTATACTAAAACCAAAAGCTATTGTTTGTAATCGTTGTAAAACTAGGTGTATTTTAGCGATATTTACATTTTGTACTCGAAATAAAGCGTTTCTCACGGTGGTTTTCCTCAAGTAACTTCCCCCTACTTGAAAATTATTTAGACATGCTAATTCATAAAATGTCTACAAAAGTAAATTAAAGGATTTCCTTAAGTCTTCATACTATATATTAGTATATTAGCCACTGTGAATAACGCCATCTACTATTTAAATAGTAAAATCAAGTACTATGGGATTGATATATATTATGTACTGACGAAATATTTGTTCTTTGTATATAAAGTGAGAGAGTGTTGTGTGCATTTTGAGCATTTTAACGAAGAGTCCACCTATTTTGTAAATAAATAGATTTTTACACTTTGTAGCATCTAAATAAGTAGACAATGGATGTAAGGAAAAGCTTTATTTAATTAGATATAGGATATGATTGCCATAATTATTATTTATTGTGTTATTTTTGTGTGCATAAGATTTGTATACAGTGTGGTTTAACTCTCCTCATACTTGAAAGTTGAGCTCAACTAAAAATATACATACTTACAGAGTATCGTGGTATACATGGATACATTGACAGAAGTAAATCGTGACATGAAAAATTATCTTAAAAAAATTTAATGTATTTTTATTTTATGATAGGTACAGGTTTTTTTTCTAGATCAAATGCGCATAGTCACTGATAACATAAAATTGATTACATACATTCTGGACTTCTAATAAATTCTCTTTTAAATCTATTATATCTGTAGTGCATTATTGGTTTTGCTGGGTTGTGTATTTTCTAAAATTGTTGAAGTGTTTTGCACTTTTCCTTTTTTTTTAATGAAATTTATAGCCTTTATGAATTTTTATCTTTATATAGATGCATACTATATATATATAGAAAATATACATACCTATATATAGATTAATAGCAAGATTAGTAACATAAATTCATTTTTTGTGTCCCATGAAAACCTCGACCGATTGCCTAGAGTGAAAACATCGTGCTCCCTAAATATATTGACATTTTACACAGTCTCTGTAGTCTCAGCTCTCAAGTACCTACATATAGAACAATCACATTCCATTTTGATATAATCTAATTTGTGCTTTACATGTTAGAAATTAAGTTTAAAATTGCTGTGATTGTTATGAAATTGCAAAACATATACATTTTCAATAACTAACATTCCATGCTTGTGATACTCAGTCTTTGAGTAGTACCAATATTTTGAAACGTAGATGTAATGTACAAACACAAACAGCTGAGTTGTTTTATATTGAAATAAAATATTTTATTGCTAAATTATAGTGGTATTTTAATTAAACCTATTTTAACTAACGTGATTTTTCGCATTTACTAAAATGATTCTAAATGTAAAAATCATTATTTGTTTCTATTTTATGCGCTGCCATAATTATTATCCCTTATTGTTTGTGTGATGGATAATATATTAATAAAATAATAAATTATAACAATCATATATTTTCTTATGTCATTAAATTTTAACTTTTTTTTTATTTATTTATTTGTGGCCAGCAATAATTATCATAGTCCACAACATACTCGCCGCCTTTGCAATTGCTTATGTATATTGCAAAACACAAACACACAAAATTGAATATAAACTTAAAGATCTAATTTTTGTGGTATTTTAATAGAACGACCACATCGAGTCTGCTGTGTTTCTAATTGAGGTGAAACAGGATCAGTCTGTATAGGGTTAGGCATTGCACAATTTAAGGGTACCTCCAATGGAAATAAACGTTGTACTGGTCGAATCTTTTCTCCCATAGCAGTTTTAACTCGTGCTACTCGAACAATGCCGTCTGCTCCTGGAAATACAGCCGTAACTACAGCAAGTGGCCAATCTACACGTTTAGATTCTAGCTCTACTAATACTATATCGCCTACTTTAATAATTCGTGATTTATTGGACGCAAGTTGCTTTAACAATGAAAGATATTCGCTGCGGAATCTAGATTTAAAATCTTTGCGTAATTTTTGTAAATATGTAACTTTCGTATTTAATGTATGAGCGTCAGCTTGATCTAAATCCACAGTATCATACTGTTTTAAATCCTGTAGAAACATTGCGGGCGTAAGTGGTTTCAGATTTTCAGTATCATCTGCAATGTACGTCAATGGTCTGTTATTGATGATACATTCTACCTCGCACAAAATGGTTAAGAGAGATGTGAAGTCTAGACAAGCTTTACCTAAGATTCTTCGTAACATTTCTTTTATTGTCTTAATCATGCGCTCCCAAAACCCTCCCCACCACGGAGCTTGAGGGGGATTGAACCGCCATTCTATTTTATGAGATGTCGTCTGTAGTGAAACCCTTTCCCAATCAATACTATTCCGAAGGTTACTTGTACCACGAAAGTTCGTACCATTATCGGAGTAGACAGTCTTAGGCTTGCCTCTACGTGCAATAAATCTACGAAAAGCCAGCATAAAATCTTCCGTAGATAATGACTTACATAATTCCAAATGAATGGCGCGATAAGATGCACAAGTAAAGACTACGATCCAGTGTTTCTCATTATCTCGGAGATATAATGGACCAGCAAAATCTACCCCAGTAACATCAAAGGCAGCACCGCAATTTGTACGACCAATTGGTAACGGAGCTGGTGGTACAGAACATCGACGAGCATTATAACGCTTACAAACAACACATTCACGCACAATCCTTTTACATATTTGTCTGATTCCCATGACCCAATAAAATTCTCTAATATTACTAATTAATAATTGTGAACCAGCGTGACACAACTCAATATGTTTATGACGAATCAGATTTTGAACTAATTTATTTGATCCAGGAAGTAAAATTGGAAATATAAAAGTATCTGTGTCGTCTCGTAGTGTAAGTCTTGTTTTGACACGTAAGATTCCATCTTCGTTCGATTTAACTAATTCCATATTCAAACATTTCATAGTCGATTGTATGTCATTGAAATGTTCATTTTGAATTAAAGCAAATAACCTTTTTTCAGCCTTTTCAAATTCACAACTCGATAAGTTTCCTTTCGTTCTTGTACTAGACTGTTTTAAACAATTTTCCTTAAAACGTATACACCAACCTATCATACGAACCGTTTTTATATACTTAGAAAAATAGGTAAGTCTATCCGAAAACATTACCACTTCTTCTGTAACTAAACAATTAACATTTATTTCTTTAATATATTCTTCTTCGTTTAGTTCTGGTACAGAGCATGGCCATTCATCTATATTATTTCGTAACCAAGAAGGTCCTTCCCACCATCTACTATTAAGTAGGACTTGAGCATTACAACCACGAGAGGGCAAGTCTGCTGGATTAAGGTGACCTGGAATATGACGCCAGTCTTCAACATTCGTCTTATCTAACATTTCTGTAACTCGGTTATGTACAAAAATATTTAGTCCAGATTTCCTTTTAATCCATGCTAAAACAATACTGGAATCTGTCCAATAATATTCCTTCAAACGTTCCAAATTAATCGATTTTTTTGCTTCAACTGCCAATCTAGTAGCCAAAACAGCAGCTATTAACTCAGATCGAGGCACAGTCACTGCCTTAGA